TATGAGAATTAAATGATTCAGTAATTAAATTTTAATGATTTCAAATTCGCATGACGAAATTTTCTTGACAAATTAATTCACAAAACGTAATTCCTGTTTCTGGTCGAAAACAAAACTTGTTTACATTTTTAATTAATATAAATGGGGGTATAAGAATGAAACAATCATTAAAATTTATTAGTACAAAGACTATAATATTTTATTAAAAATTTCTGAAACGGTCAGTGACACGATTTAGTCTTGTATTTTTGTCTTTGGTTTCATGCCTTCTAATCACAAAATTGCAATATAAACTAATTAAAGTGTTCAATAAGTTTCTTTTTACGAAATAATTTTGTCTTTTATTTCATTTCATTGTTTCGAATTTCAAAAGATCATGTTTCATTGTTCAAAGAAATTTAATTAAAATCAACACATTCTAATATTTTAATAACAACACGAATTCAGTGGATGAATAAAAAGAAAAATGTAGCACAAAAAGAAACTAGATTTATCGCAAGCAAAAGGTATCCAAGAGGAAGCAATACGCATAAAAACATGACACAGAAAGTTATATTACTTAAATATAAATATCAGTATAGTAATGTACAGGCTATAGAGTTTTGTAGTTTTACATCACTGATAACTTTTAGTTAGACAATAATTTCATGCCCTGGACAGTTGAATCATTATAGTATGGGACTTGTAAGAAATGACTATCGACAACCTCGCCCACATTAGGATACTGAACCTTCAAACTCATCGGTTAGAGCTTTACTTTCAGACTACTGAGTTATAATCTATTGGTTTAAAATTCTAGTTTAAACCATTTCATTATATTGTTATATCATCCATTTTCATCAGTGATACCTGCCTAACCACCCTATTTAAAAGGGTACACATCAAAAAACCTAAAAAGTAACAAATAAATTTGTCATTCATCATCATCACGATATCCTTTGAAAAAGATAAAATTCAGTAACTTCACGTTTAACAAAAAGCCTAGAAAAAAATCATTCATTCCAATAAAGTTTATCAGTTTTTTTTTCCTTTTCGGCATCAGCTATTCATAGTTATTACTCGCATTATTTGAACAATTTACTAATTCATAATTTGAATGGTGGTTTCAGACTTGATTTCCTATTGCCGAAACTTAAAGAAATCGGTTTGAAACTAAAATGGTTTACAAGTTAGGAGAGGGTTTTATTTTTAATCGTTTAGCGATGAAGTAAGAGTTTTTATTCCGAATGACCTAATAATGTCGAAATATAAAGGTGTTACATTTTCAATGTGATATGGTTAGGTTTGTAACAGTTATTGAATAGGTTAAAACTAAATTATTACAAACATATATATTTATATTTACTTGATGACCTCTACAAATATTGTTTTAATTCGATGACTTCATTCAAAATTGTACATTTAATTTTAGAAATAAAAAAAAAGAAATTTCAAAGAAATAAATTATATTAAATTAATAATTTTATTAAATATTATTAAATATGTAATAATAATAATAATAACAAGTTTATTTATTATTTAGTTACTAATAAATAACACCAACACCAATAAAAACAACATTTCATGATGGATTGTAATTTTGCCTGAAATTATTTTGTTACTAGTATTTATTATTCATGCTAATTGAAATGAACAGCGTACTTGATTTCTTTGAAATAATAATAATTATTATTGTTATTGTTATTATTACTACTACTGATTTAATTGTATTTTCTTTTATTGAAAAGTAAACGCTAAACAAAATGGTTTATATTTATGACCGAAAAATAAAACAGCAATAATTCAATTCAACTTGAAACAAAAACTTTACATTATCACGCACTTAGTGAATGAATGAGAAGAGACTGAAGAAAGAAATGAACACATCACACTTACAACGACCATATTTTATTTGTTTGATCAAAATAAAAGAAATAGCAACAACAACATAAGATCAAAATTAATTAAAATTAATTGAAATAAAAATAATTTAATTAATTATTTCCAAAAACCTAATGAAAGTATTTTCTTACAAACACTTGTCATAGGGCAAAATGTTGATTCGTTGAGTAATTGTGTTTGTTTGTTTTTTCTGTGTGTGTGTGTGAGTGAGTGATTCTTTGACAATCATGTTTAAGTGAGTTTAGTCTAACTATTGGACAAATGAATCATTTTGATATGAGTTAGTTATTTCTGTTTCATAACAAATATTTATCTTCGGTAAACATTCAGCTTTATCCGTGAAATAATTTTAAGAGTTAGTTTGTATTACTTTCCTATATCATCATCTCTCTGTCTACTTTTATTTACAAATGGCTTAGAAAACCTGAATTATCGTAAATGATCTTTGAATTAATATATTACCTCTTGTCATTCGATTGAATGTTAGATATACTGATCATAAATCTATTTCGTTTGTGACTTGTTTTTTATATTGTAAATAATTAATAGGATCGACCAAATATCGTTTATTTATTATTCTCTGGAGTTAACTTCTAGTTAGATTAGTATTCAGATTGCGTTCAGTTGAACCTTTACTTCGAAAATGAGGTCATTTTATTATTATTGATATTTTTGATGATGTGAGTAGATTGTGAATATGTTATGCGAAACTCTAATCAATAATATACGATGTATACTGAATGACTGATACCGGATTATTCAAGTAAACTCTTACATGAACTGTTAATTGCGATCAATATCGCTGGTTCATAAAATAAGTTTTTCTTAATGAAATGACACGTTTTTATTGTACAAAGTATTAATTATTAAAATAAACATCTATTATGAGTAAATCTTTTGCAAGTCAGTAAAATTAAATCTTCAAATAGAACGCTTGCATCAATTTAGTTCAAGTCATGATTAGTTCGACCGGAAAAATAATAACTTTATTGAATCATACGCTTGAGCAATTGAAATAAATGTATAATTTTCCTTTCGAATTGTAAAAATAAAACAAATCGATATTATCATTCGAACAAACTTATAATGGTGTATACATAAAAACGAGGTTAGGCGTTTTTGCGCAGGCCAAGGATTCAAATCCTACGAGTAGCACAAGTCATGGATGCGCATTGCTGATGAGGACGAAACAGCCGTCCAATGCTTCTAGGTTTCTAACGGTGGTCTAACAATGAACGATTAACGATTTCAATGATAATTCAAAATTCTAGAAATTCCAGAAGTGAACGAAGTATACTTCCTGATAGGGATGTTAGATCCCCAGAACTCGCTTGATAAATGCCTTATCTTGGATTTCACGTTAGTAAGCATGAGCTGATCAGTTGACCTTGAGATTTCATTTCCCATCAGGAAAACCCATGGCTATGATTGGCTGCTGTGTATTTTAGTGCGCTATTTTTATGACTGTCCCAAGGACGTTTCTATGATGTATAAATAAACGAGATTTGTGTGCTTGATTGTATTGTGATTACCGGGTGTTTATAGAATATACTTTCTACGCTATACCAAGACTTCTCCTTAGCCGTTTCGGATCACAGTAGCCTATCTGAACGCTGGTTCATTGTCTCGTTCGCGTTTAATCGACTAAGGTGAACTCGTAATAGTTTCAAGCTTACCTAGTGACGAACGTAACACTTTCTTTAGTGTATTATAGTTTTTTTACCTGAATAAGCATTCTTAATAAAACGAGTCAAAATCATTTTACCTTTAAGTTATCATCAACAAACAATCAACCATAATTGATTCGAATCATATTTCCGATTACATATTTGTGTCATTTGAAATCATATCTTTTATAACAAAAGTTTCTGGAATGATGTTAACTGTAAGTTTGAAAGTTAATTTCTTCAAGTTAAGATCAACAAATATTGAACCAATGAAATTATTTGTGGAGAACTAACATTTTGTCAATACTCAGAATATAATTATTCAAAAAGGTAGTAAAAATGGTTGCTTAGCCGTCGTTTGTAACTGTTTTACACTCATAATCCTCTATGTGATCGGTTCTACGTTATCCTGCATTCCATAAAAAGCACGATGCCATAGGATTTTAACGACATCACTAACTGATCTAAATTACGCAAGCATTGGAAAGTAGGATACAGTGAACAGCTGTTTCGTTCTGGCACAAAACTCCTCCACAATCAGTAATCACTAACCAATAATGATAAGTTAAACTTAGGAAATTTGATTTGGCATGCGGATGCAAAACATTTAGATCACTGAACCATTGTCGATTGGTATACATGTCCAATTCTAATTCATTCTCAATAGTGTGCAATTATCTTATGAAGTTTTCGATGAATATACAAGGAAGGTCGATTCCCGATATCATTAATAATCTTTACAAACCCATGTAGTGACCATTTGATTTATCGGAAAACAGAATTAAATAATCACAAATTCAGTTGTTCATGATTGTTTAAATCCGATTGTTCGACTTCACTGTTGTGCTCCAGAAATACCCTCCATAATGGCTCCTTATTAAAATTCTAAAACATATATGATTGATATAATAATGAATTATAAAATATGGACTTATTATTTGAATGATTAATTATGACCTACTTCAGTAGAATGGCGACGTCTTTCACAATGGAGTAAAGTAAGTTGGCAAAATAGTAGAAAACTAGTTAGATCTAGACAAACACAATTGGGATCTGATCACTTTGCACTTTAGAATGTTGATGAATAAACTCAGGCTTACTTACTTGGGCCTGTTACACCCAATGGGGCACAAGCGGTCGACCAGCATTCTTCAACCTACTCTGTCCTAGGCCTTCCTTTCTAGTTCTGTCCAATTTTTGTTCATTCTACTCATATCTCTCTCTATTTCACGGCGTAATGTACTCCTTGGCCTTCCTTATCTCCTTTGACCTTGAGGGTTCCAAGTGAGAGATTACCTTATGAAACAGTTGTGTGCTTTCCGTAATATGTGAGTGTGTTGATCGCTCCTGTTATATACAGTTACAACTTTTACCGTTATTAGTAGTATAAAATTTTTATAATTAAACAAATTGTTGCTTCTTTCTTTATTATTATCAGATGGAATACTCACAATGACACAAGATGTAAAGAATGGCGAATATGTATTCTTGATATTCACTTGTGTATATCGTTTTGGTCGTGATGATTTAGATGTGTTAGGTTTGACATTTCAAAAAGAATTAATCATCTATACAAAATGTTTATGGCCTAATCATCCATTTGATGATAATCAATACGCTAAAGGTGGTAATATGAAATGGAATAAAACATGGAAAAAAATTAAACGTTTATCAAAACGAAAAACTGAATCCAGTGAACAAATTTCCTGTGTTGCCGTAAATGATGATCCATATGGAATATTTAGTGAAACGCTGAAAGATACTGATCTGTCAGCATTTCAAACAAAGTTAATAAGTAAATATGGTGATTTGGCATTTCCGTTTCGGATAACTGTAAGTTATTGTTTGTTTGCTTTTGTAAGTCATCATTATTGTGTCCGTTATTTCATTAAATTGAAATATGCCCTCAAGTATAATGTGATGATATGCAGCCCTCATATTTCTGTACAATAAAATACTTTTTTCGATTTTATACATGTCAACAAACTCAATGAGCAATCAGTTTACATAAAAAACCGAAAAAATTATAGAAAACCTTAGACAGTGGATATCATTTCAGCCATTTTATTGATAATTTCTGAGATTTTAGAACCAACAATGCCGAACTCAGTCGCCGATGAAGTAAATTATCAGTGAATTTTAAATGAAGTAGAATTTTGATGGATTAAAAGATGTTCATGTGTTAGAAACATATGGTTCTTGTCACTTAACCGATTTGTAAAATATATTGCAAATCCTCAATAGATTCAATTCGCATGTCATAGAGCTATCGAATGGGTTCATTATGTTATTTGTAAATGGTTTCTAATTCTAACTTATTAGTAGACAGCTATCTTTGCATTATAAAGTTGTGAAAATTGTTGAGTTACTCTAAAATCACGAATCGATCAGTGTTATACCTCACATTAGAAGCTCCCGGGTTCGAATCCAGCGCGTAGCAGGAGTTGTGGAGGCTCACTGCTGATAAATCCCACACCAGGACGAAACGACCGTACAGTACTTTCAGGTTTCTAATGATGGTCACACAATGATCAATTTGTGATTTCAAAGTTATCTTTTGGTTTTATGTGATCTTTTATTGATTCGATAAACAAATAAATTATCATTTAGGATGATATCGAGTACAACGATAAAATCTTCTCAATTATCAAAACACAACATAACCGATATCAATTTAATAATTTCCTATTAGTTATGTTATAAAATTTATAGGTCTATATATTATATCAATAATAAATAAAACAAATTTGAAAGATAGCTGATTGTATAATTTCAACATGAAAAAGTAAAAATTTTTATTGTTGACCTCAAGAATATGATCTTTTGATATAAAGATATGATGTGAACTTGTCAAAATGTAACTTGATAATTTATTAAAAAATATCTAACCATATATTAACCTTATGCTGTAAAATAACTCATCTAGCTGGTTAATGAAAATAGTCGTCATAATAATAGTAGTAGTAGGAAATAGTCTTACGCTCGTCTCTAGTTATGCTTAAAACTATTCCGGGTTCACCATAGTCAAATAACGAGAACAAAGCAATGAACCAGAGTCCAGGTAGGCTACTATGATCCCTTGACTCGACTGTAACAGCAAGAAGTTTTCATATAACGTAAAAAGTGTATTTTACAAACACCCAGCAAGCACACGAATTGCGTTTATTTATACACCATAGAGACGTCCTTGCGACAGTCACAAAAATAGCACATTAAAATGACACAATAACCAATCACAGCCAAGAAATTTCCTGCTGGGAAATGTGATCTCTCAAATAAATCCAAAATAAAGATATTTATCAAGCGAGATCTAAGGAACTAACATCCCCAACAAATGGTTTTTGGTAAAATTTTTCATTTTGAAAATCCTATCAATATCACAACGCTAAGGATTAGCATATAATTTCAACTTGGTTATTTCGTATCATTACTCTATATTGAGAATTCCATTTGTTTCAGGTATTCTAGTCTGTATTCTATGAATGCACAATGTAAGTCAGCGAAAAAGAAAACATTAGGTGTTAACATTAAAGATATTCCCAGTCGGATTTCCAAGTGGATAAACTCAAAACCCAATTTGATTCTGTTGTATTAGTGATTCAGTAACATTTTTATATGCCTGAAATGAAGGAAAAAAAACAAAATCACCTATCTAATTTTCTCTAATCTCCAAAGGGTTATCTAGTTGACAAATAGTTCTTGGCAATTTCAATTGATCAACAGATCTCTGTAATCAGTAATTTGTTTTTGTTATTGTTTGTTTTCTTGTTGATAATTACATTGAATATTGAATATCCAAATAGAAAATTGTTTATCTATAAGTTTTGATAGATTCTAAACTATCAAGTAACAACAAAATATGATTGAAAAATAAAAGACAAAAATTGATGCTTTGATAAATAATTGCCGTGTAAAACAAAATTACCGTTCATAGGAATGCAACTACATTTAGCTTAAATATACCGTTAAGTTCTTTTAATTCATTGGTTACAGAATTCTGTGCTGCATATAACATCGATGAAATGTTATTATGCGTATCTTCCATAAAGACGTTCAATGTACAATGAGGGTTTGTTTTTCGTAAACCGACTGACAGACTACAGTTTATGAGCATATGAAACGAGAGAAGCGCACTAAAAGTTCGAACAGAAAAATAATACTTTTTTGAAAGAGACAAGCATTTTTGTTTTCATTATTTATTTTACCTGTACTTTTTAAAATTCATCAAACTGAAGACTGTTTTTCAGTGTTAAATGTTCAATTTTTAGATAAATGTCTGATATTTGTTAGTCCTTTGACATTATTGCAGGGAATGATGAAATAGCCTGTCGCTGATTATCTTCCGTAAGCTCTGGTTACTATTTTGTTGATATATAGGCACCCTGCGGAGATTGTCTTAGCACAGCGATTATTCATAGACTTTTATAGAATAAATAGATTTGTACCAAGCAGTAAAACCTAGAACTCAAGTTTCGTGCTGTTGATGACTTATCAACCGCATAAACCTACATTCTAGTGTTGATATTCACACCAGTACTCAGACATAATACTTTTAACTTCAAAACTAATGAAATTGGCTATACTGAAGCAATCTATCTATATAGGATGCATATCCTTCAAAGAAGATTGATCAAAGTTCAGTTAAAATTTTAAACAATGGAATAATCTTAATAAGACTTTTGTTCATGAATGAATGGTGATTTAATTCAATAGCTAAGTGAATAAACAGTTCAGTTTCTAGAGCGAAAGACACGGATTCTATTACAGATGTGAATATCAATACTGAGCTACAGAAATGCTCCGTTCTAAATGGGATGAAATATCAGTTCTTTCTCCTACTTTTATCTTTAAATTTAGTTATTCTGTATATTAGCTAAATCTTTATAATATAAATAAGGGTTCAGTTTTCAATATTTCGAAACGTTAGATGTATACTCTTGTATATATTTATTTTACGTTACATGGATGATATTTAAACCGTTGATTGTCATATTTTAATGATAATAATAATAACCATTATTTTTTCAAAATTAGTTTCATGATTCGGTAGGATCATATTAATGTTTTTTTTTCGAATACCTCATATTCATCTGTAATAATGAATAAAACTTTTGATAATACGTTCTATAAACTAGTGCCTTATTTGGTAATTTCAAAGAATAAACAGTTGAAAGGAATATCGTCAACTTGATTGAAAATCACATAAATCATACTGTACTATAGATGCACAGTTTTTGCTTAACTAACTTAGTTAACTGTGCCTGTAGGAATATATACAGATTAACTTAAACTTAACATGTTGACTAAGTGTTGACTGAATGATTGAGGTGTATTAATTATAAACAAAACTCTGATTATCAAAGATTTTTTATTAAAATTAATGATATGATTCTATCATCAACAAAAAAATACAGAAACAAACTTCCATGTTAAAAGTATTAATCAAAATCAAAAAGTTGATAATTTTGATTGTGATCGAAATACCACAACTGCCAAATTTCACTACCAATCTAATTCATTATTCAGTTTTATATTATTTGATTGAATGCACTGATGAGAAACTTTGATCTGTGAAATCGACTAATTCGGAGGTTAATAAAATTAAGTTAATTAAGTATTAATTTTATTACAAATTAATAGACTTTTCATTATCTAGTTAGTGAGATTGATGTTTTACGTCGAAACTGTGGATTGATCATTTTTAGGCCACCATTAGAAACCTGGAAACACTGGAGGGTCGTTTCGTCCTAGTACGAGACTCTTCAGCAGTACTCATCCACGACCCCCCTCAAAGGAATCGAGCTCAAGGTATTCGGTCTTGCGAGCGAACACCTAACCTCTAGACCACAGAGCTGGCATCCAACAGTGTTAATGTCTAACTCTGGTCAATCTAAGGATTTTGCACGACCTCATCTATTGTCTTTGGTAAGTATCTGCATACACCGAACAGGGTTGAAAATCATAAAATATAGTCGCTAGTGACTAGCTTCATGAAGAAATTCTCGGAGTTCTGGTCATAAGCCATGATCACTTGAGTGATATCGAATATCCTGGGTTCAAGCCCCGCAGCTGGGGGTCGTGGATATGCACTGCTGAAAAGTCCCATAATAGGGCGAAACGGCAGTCCAATACGTCCACGTTTCTAATAGAGGTCTGACAACGATTATTTCACGATTTCAATGTAAAATAAATAGATGTTAGAAAATATAGACTGCTAGCTTATCAGTAAACAATCTAAATACATAAAGCTTACTGCAACAAAATAGAATGCGCTATTACAATAAAGTTATGAACTGTTAGCAAGTGTTACAGATTACAACATTACAACAGTTCATTTTCTCCAAGATTTTAGTTATTCAACAAGCATCTTAAAAAGCTTATCATATTTTCAGTTAAAACTTTTAAAAGAAATCATTTTATCTTCATTTCATTTATCATTTCAAATAAACAACAATAAAATGACAGTTTTTGAAAGTAGATTATAACGATTTTACAACTATACAAATTAATCCTCTCTATTGAAAAGTGTAATTTTAAAATGGTTTTCGGGAGAACCAAGGAGATTGCCTACATGTTAATATTTCAACCGGAACATTTCGGCTCAATCGCATGATGCAATCAAATAGATACCTGACACCTTGGTAGATCATAGATTATAAATATATATTCTAATTCATTTACATTACATCAACACTATATATATATATATATATATATATATATATATATATATATATATATATATATATATATATATATATATATATATATATATAAATTTAAATTATCTGAACCTAAGCAGTACTTTGGAGTTATTTTCTGATAATTTTTTCCCACCACAGTATATTTTATTACGAATTTATTTATCAAAAGAATAATTTAAAATGAAAACATTCTGAATTGAAACAAAGTTCTTCTAAACTTTGAATTTATGAGCCTTAAAAGTTAGACAGAAATCATTTATCATTTTAATAGTAGGGGCAATTAAAAGAGGTCATATCTTGCTTGATACATTTAAATTATCTTTATATGAATGATTTATATTTATATGGCACTAAAGAAACACTTGAAATAAATATGCTAACTTGCAACCTGATAAATGAAGTACAGTAGGAACTTTTACAAATTCCAAAGAAGTAAATAAGAAGTATGAAAAAAACAAATTCAAAGTTTATCATAATAAATTTATATGAAATATCACTTTAAAGAGATAATTTATACGGCTGCAAACGTAGTTTTGTTTATTGAAATATTATTAAAGTTTGTGTACTATTCAATTGTGAAGCAATGTATTAGCTCTCTTTGATCTTGTGTTTTCGTTTGTAATTGCATGTATAAGGAATTTTAATCACATAGCTAACCATGATTGATTAATGATTTCAAATGTGTAGAAACACAAACCTCCAAAACTATGCCCGAAAATATCGTAACAGTGCTCACTAGTGACTAGATTCGTGAGGAAATTCTCGGAGTTCTAGTTGAGAAGACGTGATCAATGGAGTTCAACCCTGTCGGGTGTAGGCAGTAACTACCAAAGACAAATGGGTGAGGTCGCTCAAAATTCCTTGATCAATCAGAGTTAGACATTAACACCGTTGGATGCCGGTCCAGTGGTCCGGTGGTTAGTCGTTCGAGCGCAATACCTAAAGTCCTGGGTTCGAATCCTGCGAGGTGCAGCAGTCGTGGATGCGCACTGCTGAGGAGTCCCATACCAGGACAAAACGGCCGTCCAGTGCTTCCAGGTTTCTGATGGTGGTCTAACAATGATTGATTGGTGGTTTCAAATGTGTAGAAACACAAACCTACAAAACTCTGCCCCAAAACATAGCTATGGTTATGTTTGGTAAGAATTGAAGTATAATCAACCAGTTAGAGGAATTTACACTCGGATGAAATTGTTAGGTAGTGAACAAAAATAGCATGAGTGCCGCTGAACGGATTAAGCATCCGTATGATTTTAGAATTTAATGATAACTAAAACTTCATATAAGATCCAAATAAATTATGTAGAAATATTATGACATTTAACTAACTGTCATAATAACTTTATGCAAGATCCAATCAAATTATGTAAAAGTTTAATGATATTTAATTAATGATGACGATCATTTGTTTTAAACAATAACATACTTCGAAGAATATGATTGATTAATTGTCATAGATTGTTGTTTCTGAAGCTACTCAAGAATTCACATCGTTATTATGATTTTACGATAGTTTGATGAATCCAAAGCAGTCTTTCATTCCAAGGTAATAATGATTCTTGAAAAGCCGAACTATTCGAGATTGCACAGCCGGTCTATCAAACACTGAAAACTAAGAATCAGTTACACAGCTATCTCTGTCCTAGTGTGTCAATTCTCAGAAGTGATTGTACATAATCCTGCTAAGAAATGAACCTAGGAACTGCGTTTATCAGGGGCTATGGATGTTTATCCTGACACTGAGGCAACATGGAGTGATTTATGTTCTCAGCTTCAAACTCCTTGTGACACTCTGAAATCGTTATCTTTTCCACTTAGCGATCTACAAATCTGAACCGATATGTTATTGCTTGGTAGTTTCTCTTCTGTCATTTAGAATTCCGGAGTATTTCTCCTAGTTATTTGCTTTCTGCACTGGTAATATTCTATTTTGTTACAGACTTCAATAGGACTCATACAAAATTCATTTCTTATTATATCCGAATTCCTTGTCAAATATGTCATATTTTACCGATTATTTTAGAATTTTTGGATTTTTATTGTTTAGTTTTAGTGAATTCGTGATTTAATGCTATTTTATCGTAATCTGTGCTTAGAAATGTCGCCCAAAATAACTTATACCTTAAACTAATGGTTTAGTTGAGCACATTCCTCATATTATTTTTAAAATAGCCTTTCTTTTATTCTTCAAACCAATAATATTTCTTAATTGAAACCGATTTTATTTGTAAAATTTTATGCTGGTATGAATTTTTTGTAAATCTTATCAAATCTGTAACTACTAAACTGCCATAATTATATAGTGTCAATGAATTGCCGCCTTCACTCTTTTTCAAAATAATATATACTCAAACAATATATTTCAGTAGAACAAAACAAATATTACTTTAGTTGTTACATTTCTTACCAGTTTTGTTTTCGTTAATCCGAATGGTATGTGAAGTACGTGAAATACCATTGGCTGAGATGCGTTCCTTTTATTGGTAACAAATTAAAACGTCTTGAAGTTCTTTGAACTACTATTGGAAACCACTGCTTTTAGAAACTTATTCCATGAAATGAGTCTATGTTTCATAGAAAACGTTCTATGATCATAGAGCTTATAGAGAAGGATTTAAGTTTTTAACAGTTATCGTCGCTACCATATAAAATATACTTTGAATAGTTATCTCTTCTGAACACATATAACAGATCTTTTTGAAAAGTTTTTATTCAGGTTTTATAGACATCAAGGCTGCAATAGTACAGTAAAAATCATTTTCTTTATTCTTTGGGTATGATTTTTCCTATGAACTCATTCACCAGGTAACTGAATATCAGCTGCATACTTAGTGTCAATCAATATTGATACAACCCACTTGCCTAAACTTAAGTAGATGAAACGAGATTTGAACCCAGGACTTAGTTGTTTAAAGTCATACGCTATAACTCCTAAACCATACCTCTATTATAGCTGCAATGAACTCCGACTTGGAAGAAGCTTTCAACAGATTAGATAAACCGGTATGGAATTGTATGTAATTACAGTCCAAGTATTATTGTAGATATCTGTCGAGGTTAGTGTGAGAATCATGTTTATGTTTAGGAGTTTACAGTGTAACATCGAACGTCTGTTTTTTCTCTAATTTACAATGTCAAACCTAAACAATGCTTCTTGACTTTTTATGACGAAGTATGAATGTTAATATTTAATCGAAATCTACGTCATTTAGATGGAGTTTTGTCCTGAATCGGACCATCTAATCACGAAAGTTTCATTCATCAGCACAAGCTATAGATAGAACTCCATTATTCAGTCATCCAGGTTAGAGAAGGAGACTCGACTAAAATCAACTGTTTAAACTATAAATCTTCATCATTCTGCGTTCTGACATCGTGTCTTGAGTTCACGACTGCATACCATACTCTATTTCTGAACAATAAATCTCTTTTGTACATCTGCTTGAATACTACATCCCTGTCGATCGATGAAATATTATTTTCGGTTAAATGTCATTTGTTCAATGAGTTACTTTAGCTAAGAAATTGCTCAGTATTTTCTGCTTTCCATCAGTGTTCTTTTATCTGATAACACTATTAAGGTATTTAGTCTACTGATGAACTGTCTCAGAAATAAATAATGGTCGAGTTGACGAAATTTTCTTAATCGTCACAGATGTTTTTTTTACATTTTATTTAATTATTTCAGATACCTGCATCATCACCGTCATCAGTTGCAATCCAACCGAATGAAGATGATTCTCGGAAAGTGAGTAACAGTTTGAAATTGTTTCCACTTTATTTTGACTATATTTTTTGTATGTGGTAACGCTGACAGATGAAATTCCTTGGCTAAGCTAAGGTGCAGGAGTGGACTCATCAGCTTCAAGAAGGTGATTTCAAAGTAATGTTGTTATGTCCATGATGCTAATCGAAATCATTTGCTACACTCACCAGTCATAATGTCGATTACTATCTCTCTATACCCATGTATTCTAATCTGTGTATAGTCTAGTGTCCTTGGTCTCTACCAATCGTATAGTTATAATTAGCCGGCTTAATGGAAACTTACACTAAACCGAATATAGAAACGTTGATTAAATTAGCTAGTTAATATATTTAATTACAGTCCATAAACTAGTTACGAGAGTTACCTTTTCTTCACTCTTCATTCGATTGGATCATGGCGCTTAAGTGAAACATAACTATTTATCGTTTATCTAAAGCGCTCTTATTTTGAAAAATATTTGATAATAACGCATTTACGTAAAACTTTCTCTTGGTGAACAAGCTTATGAGATTAAAAACAACTCATTATAAAAATTCTATTGAGACAAATAGTCCTACCACTTATATACACTGATTAAAATAGACATCTTCAACCGTTTTATAGTTGCTCTGGCTGAAGTAAGAAAATTATTGACGTTTTAATTGGTACCGATATTCCAAAAATACATATTCATAAACCATAATAAGAAAATCATTTGCTTTTGATAGTAAGGAATGAGGAATATGAAGCAAGAATTAAAAAATAACAGTAGTTATTGTCATCTTTATGAAGTTTACAAAAATTAAGATACGAGAGAAATGTTTACTGGATTTGATTTATTGCCCATTTGATCATGACTTATAATAAAAATCCCGCATCATACATCAATATGTTTATCTACTGTGTTTGGGATGTTAGATCCCCAGAACTCACTTGATAAAGGTCCTAATTTTGGATTTTATGCTTTCACGCATGGGCTGATCAGTTGACCTTGAGATTACATTTCCCACTTGGAAAATCCTTGACTGTCATTGGTTGATGTGTTATTTAATTATGCTGTTTTGTGGCTCTCTCAAGGACGTTTCTTTCATGCATAAATAAACTCGATTTATGTGCTTGTGAACCTTATATTTTCTGGGTGCTTGTAGAATACACTTTCTACGTCTTCTCAAGACGTTTTCTTCTACTTAGTGGGGCCTTGGGACTCACGGTTTAGAGTAGCCTATTGTGTCACCGGATCATCTGTCTTCGCTCTCGTTTACCGACTAAGGTGAACATGTAATAGTTCAAGTATATCAACTGGTGAAACTTTTAAAGACTTGTCATGAAAATTATGATTAAACTGGTGGATACATCTGTGTAAAAAAGAGCTCAATTCATCTAGGATTTTGTATAGGAGAATCTCAGGTTTTTAAATTCGTATTTTAGCAATGACATAAACGGTCAGTTTACCAGTAATGTTGTGTCCTGAATATCACCACATAGACAGAACTGTGCCATCTTAGTTTTCGACTTCCATTCGAATTTGATCTCATATTAGCTTTTGGGTTATTCACAATGAATTGTTGTGTTATCAGTCCTCGTTCTAACGATATACATCAAAGAACACATTCATATTAGAATAATCTGAATCGTCCTTTAGTTAATAAATACCATAGTTCAATTCATCATATTCATCTACATTATCATATCAATCAGAATAACGGATAAATGATATGAGAATAATGCATTCTAAAATACATTCGATCGTTGTATTACACACTTTTGATTCAGACTGATGTAGAGTTTCACAAAATAATATCCTTGATTACTTATTGAATAATCGCATTTCTTTCATTCAAGAATAATTCGTACTATGTGAAAAATTCAAATAAAAGCAACATATGGTATGTACATGAACAATAACTAAGATTCTCTTTTAAAATTAACTAATTCGAGTACTTTTTTGTACTATCGTGTTCACATGCTGTATATCAATTTGAACAGATACATGTATAGAAATCGTTGATGTTTGAGATTCGATACTGAAGAAATCCTGCATAGTTAACATTCTGATCACTTCAAATATTGACTGAAGTAGCATAAAACAAAAGTCCTTGAAACATAGATCGAATACCGACAATAAAACATTGAAATATTTAAACAAAACTACATCTTAGCAGTTACAATCCACATAAAAGCTACACATTAAATTGATGCTTAATAAGTAAGCATCATAAAAGAACCACAGTCTTCTACGTAGACGTAATCCACAACAAGATTATGTTTTATAATTCTAGGTTAAATCAAAAACCTTACAAACGTCTAACAGAATATCAGCAAGACAGAAATATATTCAAATCATCAAGAACTCATTCACAGGAAAAATCAATCAATCAAAGAATAACCAGCTTCTTTTAAAAACTTTCTATAAAAAATGTAATTACTGAAAAGGCTAATGCAAATAATTTCATCCTGTTAATCATTAAACTGTTTAATGGAAAATAAGAATTGTACTAAATAATGACTCATGAATTCAGTAGTATTCAGCGCTCTCTTTAAACAACACATGATGATAATTATCATATAAACAATAGCCAAGAAATTCGAAAAGATGATTCCATCATTCTAGTCAGAAGTTGAGACCAACGGAGTTCAACTGTGTCGACTATTAGGCAGTTACTCATAAAACATAATGGAATATAGTCATAGAGTGTTGTAAATTGATTGAAAATATATATAAACAAGAGTGGTGTTACGCTCGTCACTAAGTATGCTTGACGCTATTACGAGTTTACCTTAGTCGATAAACGCGAACCAGACAATGAACCAGCGTCCAGGTACGCTACCTTGAATCCCCAAATTAAGTAGAAAGGCTTTGTAAGCGTAGAAAGTATATTCTACAAACATCCAGCAATCACAGTACAATCAAGCACACAACTCTCGTTTATTTATACATCATAGAAACGTCCTTGAGACAGTTAAGAAAATAGCGCACTGAAATACACAGCGGCCAATCACAGCCACGGATTTTCCTGATGAGAAATGAAATCTCAAGGTCAACTGATCAGCTCATGCTCGCAAACGTGAAAACCAAAATAAGGCATTTATCAAGCGAATTTCGGGGATCTAACATCCCCAACTAGTGGATCCTGGTTAATTGGCATAGTGAGTAAGCTCTCGTGAAGAGATGGAATATTGTAGGTTCGACCATGCAAGTCGCCGATGATTACTGTTGAGTAGTTCAGTTCTATAACGAGTCAGCTCTTTGGTGCTAACTGGTTTTCAGTGGATGTCTTACATCATTATCATCTTAGTAACAACCAACTGGTGTTAAGTTAGTTAACGGTGTTACAAATTCTGAATTAATTTTATTGTTTTCAACAAATAGAAACAAACTTACTTACTTACTTAATTGCTTACTTTTGCCTGTTACCCCCAATGGGGCATAGGCCGCCAAACAGTTTTCTCCAACCAACTCTGTCCTGGGCCCCCTTTTCTTGTTCCGTCCAATTTTTGTTCATTCTTCTCATATCTTTCTGTATTTCTCGGTGTAATGTGCTTTTTGGCCTTCCTTTGACTTTAAGGGTTTCAAGTGAGGGCTTGTCTTGTGATGCAGTTGAGTTCTTTCCACAGTGAGTTTATCCTATCCAGTTCTTTCGCTTCTTCCTGATTTCCTCCTCCACTGGAATCTAGTTTGTTCTCTCCCACAGTAGGTGGTTGCTGATAGTATCTTGTACAGAAAACTGTCCATGAATACTTATATCTTCTGGATAATGGCTTTGGTAGTTCTGAATAGAAACAAACCGTTTCATTGAAATGTTCAAGTGAATTTCTAAGATTATTAAAGATTCCCATTGTGAAAATTAGAACAACACATATAAGCGAACAATATTGTTTTCGATTAGATCGTCATCAGGCATTACTCTAATATACATGAATATTAATATGAAAATGTTAAACCAATCAAGGCAGTTGGAGTGATAATCACAATGAAATGAAAAAGGCAAACGCACAAGTGGATAGTAGGAAGATAGGTGAACTGATAGTAGTAGGAAAATTTATAGAATATGATAACTAAAGTAGGTCAAGGGTGGATGAATCGGATTCAAATAATCATCAAAAACGTCAAAAACATTACGTAATAAGCAAATGTGTAAAAATAAAATAAAATAAAAAATAAAAAATATAATGTCAATCATTAGTTACGTCATATCCGGCCACGGAAGAGATAGGGGTGTCACGAATTTCTTCGGAACACATAAATTAAGATTGAATGTACGTATTCCTAAGGCTTCTGCTATATCTAGGAAACAGGATCGAACTCCGTTGGGAAATGATGACAGAATAACTTGCAAGATCTTACTAAGTAATTAAAATTAATAATAATTATGTACTGACGACGATGAACCGGTTAATCAGTTGCTTTGTAAAAGCGCACAGATAACGCCAGTGTCATAAGACGACAAAGAAAATCACGGTTTTTTAAATATTTATATCAAATAAATATATAGCCTAGTCTAAAGGCGAGATTAATGTATGACAAGGGTAAATTTTTCATGAACCTTTGTAATTGGACTCTCTCTGAGATGAATGTGAAACAATTCATTTGTACAGTATTTTGGTATAAATTTCATTTGTCAAAATGTTTTTTTTGCATGAATCAAACACTTCTAATTGAAAGTTTCCTATCGACTCACTACTAGTAGATATTATTGTCTCTAATAGTTTACAAATAACACCCAGTTAACCAATAAGTATGTACTTTAATTTTGTAACAAAACGTTAATGCTTATAATAAGTATCATACGTTTCATTCCATTCACTTAAATAATCACGCGAATTTATGAAGTCAACTCATCAAAAATGACTTGTTTTGCTTTCTGTCTCTTGTACATGGACAATGGGGGGTTTGAAAGATGGATAAGACTGCAACAAAAAAGGTTACTGTTTTCAGAGTCATTTATGAAAACATGAAAACAAGCCCATACAGATGACGGATTTCTTGTTGTAGATATAAGCAAACTAACAATAGTTCTAACGTTAACTCTATTTAGCTTCGTGATTTCTCATTTTTAATGACAAAGGACAAAGCTGATAGAATTCCCATTTATCGATTTATTTCTTTTGATGTTTAAGGTGATCAACACGTAAATTCCTAGGGTCAGTTTACCTTTTTGTTCAAGTGTAATCGAACCACTGACGTACAAAGAATTCATTGTTCTGTTTTCTTTTTTTATAAGAAAAAAACTCGTTCAACTGAAAAATTATAGTTCATAATCGATTATTTAAAAAAGAAATTTTCAGAACTTTCATAATGAAAACTGACCAATATTGAAAGATATCATGTTGACATGCAATTTCCTGTTTTAATCTTCTAAAAGTTTGAAACATGCAGAGAAAAACTTGAAAAAAGATTTCATTTATTAGACAAAATGATTTTTTTAAAAATGCGTTAAAAACTAAATGTTTATGTTATAGAGGTGTATGGAAATGATTTAATCTCAGTAGAGAAGACTATGCATAATGAGAGCAACAATTCAGGAGGCAGAAGATAGCTGTTTCACTAAAGAACGGAACTACTCAACAGTACTCATCGGCAAATCCTTATTAGATCAAAACCCGCAATACACCATCTCTTCACAAGGGCTTAATATTTACACTAATCAACCGAGATTCACTCTTGTAAATATCTAGTTTCAACCAGTTAACAATCATTACGTTTGATGAGTAACTGTCTCATAGTTTACACGGTTAAACTCTTTCGATCACAACTTCTGACTAGAATGCTGGAATCATCTTTTCAAATTTCGTGGTTATTGTGTATGTTACACATTTTAAAACCATGAATCGACCAATGTTAGACCACTATCAGAAACCTGGAAGCACTGGACGACCGTTTCGTCTTGATATGGGTCTCAGCCTGTTCGGGTGTAGACAGTAACTACCGAAGACTGTGTATGAGGTTGCGCAACTCCGTGAATTAATCAAGTTAGAAATTAACACCGTAAGATACCGGCTCAGTGATCCAGAGGTTAGGCGTTCGCGCACATGACCGAATTTCCTGTGTTCTCAAATCTTGCGAGGTGCAGGAGTCGTGGGTGAGCACTGCTGATGAGTCCCATACCAGAACGAAACGGCCGTCCAGTGCTTCCAGGTTTCTGATGATGGTCTGCTATTGATCGATTCATGGTTTCAAAATGTGTAACTTAACAATCTTCACAAACCCGTAATTTACTGTGTATGTGACAATTATCATGATGTGTTGTTTGAAGACAGCGCTCAATATTACTGATTTCATGAGTTGTCATTTTCTGTAGGTAAATACATTGACTTTTGTCATAATACTTGGTTTATTACAATTCATCTTTATCATTTTATCGAGTTCATATTGACGTTATTGAACGTGAACACTTACCTGATAAACCATTTCATCAAAATATCATGAAATAACTGTATTTATCCATTTATATCATTGGATTCTTGTGCAACAACACTACAACAAAACATCTCTCTTTCTTAGCAATACCGAACCTTGGATGTTGTAACCTATCAATTAATAAATTATTTACACCCAGCTTTTATCATACTAATATTAATATGAAGAAAAATAATTTATCATAATTGACAGTCATTTATCATTTATTGAATTGACTATTAAAAAAATAAACTTTCATTTACTAATCACTAAATCATATGATGATTTTTCATAAATAAGTGTAATTTTGATAATCACTTACTATATTACTTAAATTAGACAATAGCATGCATTAATGACAACAACTTTGTGTATTCATGTAGGAGATGAACTGAACTAATAAAATGCCTTCTGATCTTACTGCATCGAAATTTGTTTATTCACAAAACTTTTAACAAAATCGAATAATTCTTTCTCGTAAAAAATACATTTTTATTTGAAATTTGTTTTGAGTAATTATTACTTCAAATTCTTTGCAAGAATACATTTTATTTTTTTAGTGACAATAATGTTTTATTCCCCCCCCCAAAAAACAGTGTTTTTTTATCTGAGTTACTTACATGTGCAGTAAATAGAATAAGACATTCTCTTATTCCCTTTGGACGTTTTCTTCTTAATTTGTAGCTATATGGTGTCAGTTATGCACTGACTGCATTTGCTGGTCAAAAACTTAATTGTAGTCAACCGATTAGGTAAGTTATTATGGTGTATTTTTTTTGATGAAATCATTAACTGACTTTTTTTCCAGTCAATTTACATACTTTGTCATCAGTAACAGTGCGATAATGTAGCTGACAATTGTGTCTCTTTGCTATTGTGGTATGGCAACATGAACTTATGTACTTAAGTACGAAGTTCTACATTGTAACTGAATGACTGATAATGTAGCATTTCTGATGAACTGAAATTAATTACTGTATCAATTTGAAGGTCATTTGTTTCTATAAACTAGTACTATCAACAATCGATTTTTTTAAATGTAAGTTCATTTACTCACTAAAGGAACAACCCATCTTTTGTTTTCGAAAGCTTCTTATATCAGTTAGTTCACTGTAGTAGCTAAGAAAAGGTATCTATTTATGTACTGAATGTTTATAACTGTTGGGCATGTAAGATCCCCAGATCTCGCCTGATAAATATCTTTATTTTGGATTAATTTCATGAACTGATCAGTTGACCTTCAGATCACATTTCCCAACAGGAAAATCCTTCGCTGTGATTGGTTACTGTGTCATTTTAGTGTGCTATTTTTGTGACTGTCGCAAGGACGTTTCTATGGAGTATAAAAAAACTCAATTTGAGTGCTTGGTTTGATTGTGTGCTTGCTGGGTGTTTGTAAAATGCACTTTCTACGCTATATCAAGACTTCTTGCTGATACAGTTGAGTCAAGGGATCATAGTAGCCTACCTGGACACTGGTTCATTGTTTTGTTTTCGTTATTCTACTACGGTGAACCCGTAATAGTTTTAAGCATACCTAGATACGAGTATAACAAAAACTGATTACTAAAATAAAAGATTATTTTTAGATGAAGAAATGGTAAAATATTGAGAAGCACCGAAAAGTAACGTGATCTGAATTTGTGCACCATGAAACATGAAATAACTAGATTATTTCGGAAAACAGGAGAGCATTTTTACTTGTAAACAACTTGTGATGTGTTTTGCAACGATTCCTGATAGAAATCACATAAGCACTGCCTCTGTAAATATTTGAAACTCTATTTCACAAAAGTTTTAATTGGTGGGTAATGGATTTCTTGTGAATCCATTAAAGCTTCGAATGAAAAATTTCCACAGATATTGCATGATTGGTAGTTAATTTCTGTTATATTTCAAGATTTCTATAGAACTACCGTAAATTATGCTATGTAATAATTACGAAAGATGATTATATTTGTATTTATATACTTAGATTCAGCACAGATTAGGAACGTAAATTGCATGAAATCTTGGACTAGAAAGTAACCAGTTCCTATTTATCATATACATGATTCAAAAGATAATTGATTTAACTATCATTTGTAAAGATTTGTTGTTGATCTTCGGAAGTGAGTTATTGAACATTGAACAATTCAATGGATACCATGAAAACGAATAACTTTAGAGGCGACCTTGAAAAGATATATGTTTGGTTCAAATCTCAGTATCTTTTATAATGTTAATAATATAAAATAGCTGAAATATGACTACCACTGGAATTCAGGACGCTAGTTTAGGACTGATAAACTGGATGTACATTCATCCTAAAGTTGATCCTGCTAGCCGTATTCCACTATGATCCACAATGAATATGTCGAGGTGGTTTACACAGGAAAAACAGGATGCCAATTAAGATCGATCAAGTTTCCGTTAAAAATACGAACAACAAGATGATCTGAACCATTTCATAATGAATTGATTCTTTGAAAGCTAACTACTACTACAAACTATTCAACAACTAGCGACAGTGTCATCATAAATTTAATAGCTGTGTCTATTCTTACTTTTATCCTTAGTTCCACTGTAACAATTATTCTCAGAAAATATATCGCTGGACCGAAATTAATCAGTCGTCCTTTATATCCTGTGGCTGAATCCACTAGAAAATCAATCAATTTCATTTGTTGTTCTGGCGAACTATTAATTACAGCATCTATTGAAAAACCAGTAATGTTAGCCTTTTTAATTCACCATATAATTTTTTAAAAGTTTTATTTTCTGAAATTAATCAAATGTCATCAGATATACAGTTTCTTATTTATTGACATAAAATTATGGTAAATTTTTTCTATGATGAATAAAAACCTGTGATTCCTATATATTTTCATTTTAAGTAAAGTTATTCCTTGCACATTAAGATCAATTCAAAGTGTCAGGGTCGTTTGATCCCCAGAACTCATTTGATAAAGATCCTAATTTTGGATTTTTGCATGTTTTCGCGCATAATCTGCTTAGTTGATCTTGACGTTACATTTCCTACTCGGAAAATTCCTGACTGTCATTCGTTGATGGATTCTTTTAGTAAACTCTCACAAGGATGTTTCTGTCATGTATAAATAAGCTCGATTTGTATGCCTGTCGACCTCATATTTCTGGATGTTTGTAGAATACACTTTTCTACGCCTTATCAAGACTTCTTGATATAGTTAGCAGGGCCTGTGACGACGGGTTAGAATAGCCTGTCATGTCACTGGATCATTTGTCTTCGCTCTCGTTTAGCAACAAAGATGAACTCGCATATCAATTCACTACCATGTCACAGAGACATCTCATTCTAAGATAAAATTTAAGTTTTTAGGTGTAAAAAACAATCGATATTTCGAATATTTAACATCAACTACAAACAAAAATGATATCAATAGTTTTTCTCAGACTAACGCATTCTTTTGACTAGCAGAAAATGCTTACTGTACTACAACAACCACGACTATAATTATAGATGTTAAAAATGGGTCACACATGATATTAAAGTTTTTGTTGACATTTTCTCTTTAACTATGAAACTTGATCCACTAACTTTGTTTTCGATGAAACTCTTACCAAAGAAGGTTAGATCGAACCAAATAATTATATTATTTAATGAAATGAAAAAATAGTTGTTTATTGTTTGAATATGGTCATATAGGCTGATGATAAAAAGTCGGCCATGTATACTAATCTAAACACTGAGGATAACCTCTAATTAGCTAGACAAAAATCATCTATATCTATGTAAAGAATTTTACAAATCAAAGCTATCAATCGTTTTGACGTATAACAATCCCAATATCAGACATTATTTTTTGGCGTTTACTGATAAACAACCATTTTGAATGCTCTGGCATTAAATTACTCATATTTATATGATAAAAATAGTTTAAATGAAGTTCTAGGACGAAAGAGAATATAGTCAAATACCACTTAATCACATGGAATATATTTAGCGTCAGTGAGTTTCAGATGTACGCGGCAAGATATCGAGATGTTTTTTAGATCGATATTACGCAATCATCATGGATTCCTAATGCCAAAGAGTACCAGAAAAAAAAACAGACAATAACTATTCTAATAGTGATCTAACATTGATCGACTCATGGTTTTAAAAATGTGTAACTTAAACTAACTTAGCTTCACAACCCCGTAATGCAAATAAATATTATTTAGTACTCTATAATTTTCAATAGTATTAATAATCTAAGACGAATGTTATATTCACAGATGGCAAAAGTCGACAACGCCTTAGTAAAATTAAACACAACTAATCATTGTTAATATAACAGTATGTAAGTAGTTTTAAAAAGTAATAAACTATTTCGGTAATCACCATTAGGAATATTACAGTAATAAAGTGTTTCCATTAAAAAAAGGGATATTGATTTTTCATTTAATAACATTTATGCCATGCTGAGCTGATAAGGTCAGCTGTTTTATCTACTATACACAGTTAAGAGAAACAAACCAGCTTCACTACCAAACATATTTTCAGTAAGAGACTCATTGAGATTGTTTAATGTTATTATTATGACAATTGACTAATCTAAGACAATCTGTAATAACCTGGAAGTACTGGATGGCTGTTTCATCTTCACACACACACACACACACAGCTCTTCGGCGGAATACATTTGTGAGCCCAATTACAATCCCCATACTTGTATAAAACAGTTGATCAATGATTTCATATTCCAAATAATTCGGTAATTTTAGTTCAGTTCTAGATCTTAATAAAAATGCATTTTATTCATTGTACATACTGGTAATCACAGTAATTATATTCAGCTATACAAGACATCATATAATTTAACTCTGCAAGAGATTTGCTAAAATAATTTTAACTGAAAGATTTCACTGAATCATTCGTTTCCGGGATTATTTAGTTCAATAACAATGCATCATCAATAAATCTATTTACGTTTGTATTTTCTTCTTCAAGATAGACCTTATTCTAAATGACAATTACAGACTTTGTAAACAGAAAAGATTCATTTTTAAGTGGAAATAATCTTATGCTAGATTATGTTTTCAAATTTATTTTATCATGTTATATTAAAGAACACTATAAAATAATCTTGAAATTGTGAATCAATCAGTGTTAGGCCAACAACAGAAATCCGGAAACACTGTACGGCCGTTTCATCCTAGTAGTGGACTCTTCAGCAGTGTGCATCCACGATTTCCGCCCAGAGGAATCCAAAGCAGGACTTTCGGTCAAGTAGGCGAACGCTTAATCACTAGACCACTGAGCAGAAGTTCAGCTGAGTTAATGCCTAACTTTTTGACCAGTCTAAGGATTTTGAACAACCTCACCCATTGTACTCAGTAGTTACTGCCTACATCTGACAAGGCCGAACCTCTCTGGTCATGGCTTCGCACTGTTGAAGAGTTTCATTCTAGGATGAGACGTTTGGTCAGTGCTTCTAAGTTTATAATTATGGTCTAACAATGACTGACTGACAATATAAATGCAAAACAACAATCTCTACAATTTGAAACCATGAATCGATCAATGTTAGACCACCATTAGAAACCTAGAAGTACTGGACGGCCGTTTCGTCCTGGTATGCAACTCCTCAGCAGTACGTATCCACGACTCCTGCAGCCCACAGGATTCGAACCCAGGACCTTCGGTGTGCAGGAGTCGTCGCTATACACTGCCGAGGAGTTCCATACCAGGACGAAACGACCATCCAGTGCTTCCAGGTTTCTAATGGTGGTCTAACATTGATCAATTCATGGTTTCAAATAAAACTTAACAATCTTCACAACAACCCCGTAATGCAAATCTCTACAATGAAAAATTCTAAAATTACCAGTATCATATTGCATTCATCCGACTGATTTGTTCAATGTCCAGTCCATAAGACAAAAAAAATCAGACAAAAGCATAAAATTAATTCACTATTTTGAAACAAAAAAACAAAACAATATTCACCACAATGGAATAAGCAGCATAAAAAGAAAGAACGATTTACTGTTTAAAATGACAATCAAAAAACTTTGTAAGAACCACACATCACTCCAATTTGGTGGTTGACTGGAGGGAGATCACATTGTATTGTTTTTTTCATAATTGCGGTAACACAATGGTAGAAAACTATCCACCTGTTGTTGGTACTAACCTAGTTTTATTGATGATAAGAAAAATATTGTTTTTTGTTTTATAAGAGGTGACATAGTTTTTGTGCCATCATGTGAAGCATCTCACCTATTATCTATCGCATTGCTGTAGTCCTACAGACCAATTGAGTTTTGGAAACATGATAATTGCAATTTACAAGTGTAACATGTTTACGTCACAACTAAAATTGAAGCAGATGTTGTTTAATGATAAGATTTGCTAACGGATACACTTTATTTTGTTTGTAAAGTTGCAATTATTATCATTACTATATACATATATACATATACATTACGGGGTTGTGAAGATTGTTAAGTTACACATTTTTGAAACGGCCGTCCAGTGCTTCCAGGTTTCTAATGGTGGTCTAACACTGATCGATTCATGGTGTCAATATATATATATATATATATATATATATATATAGAGAGAGAGAGAGAGAGAGAGAGAGCTAAAGTGAGAGAGTTATATCGATATAAGGAAATGTAGTGCTTTGTTTAATGATTTTATTATCACTGATGTGTTCATCGTTTAAAAAAATAGACAGCAGTACCTTTTTCAAAACAGATGTACAACTTGTGATAAATCAATCAGATTCAATACTTCGGACGTATTAGGAAAATCTAGACAGTTTTGTATTTTTTTTTTGAATAATGATCAACTCGGAAAGCTTTGTTTTCATAACTACTACCACTGGACATAATCGATTAGAATTGATGAAAGTAGCCTGTGAATCTTTTAAACGTTGACTATCAGCAACAACTTCAGTAATTGTGTACTATTGTATTCATTATTTTTGGTAATTTTCGCTGTTTACTTAGTAGATGCTGTAGGTGCTGTAACTCAAGTGTAATTATCAAGGTTTAATTTCAGACCTTGTACTAAGGTTTATTTCTCATTTTATTTGTTAGATTCAGTCATATTACAGTGACTGAACTTGTTCTTGAAGTGAAATCAGTTGATAATAAGTATCACAGTATATGAGTATGTTAGGATATTCATCAACTATCCCAAGAGAGTTATTTTTGTAAGTCTCATTCTATTGATCAATTCCTACTGGTTGATTTTATGGTCTTCGTAGCTATCAGTGTCACATACTTCAATGTTGTTTCCCATTGGTCGTCTTGACTAACAATGTCACTTCAAAAGTTGTTTCCTATTTGTCGTCCTAACTGTCAATGTCACAAACTTCAATGTTGTTTTCCTATTCGACTTAACTGTATAAATACGCATCATATGTAAGGTTTTATGACCCTGACCCGGATCCCTAGTCCGAGATCTTGATTCTCTTCTGGACTTGGACCTCGTACTTTCTGGATGTTTGTAGAATACATGTTTTACTTCATATCAAGTCCACTTCTTTTACTCAATGGGGATAGGGGTCGATCGGGTTAGAGTAGCCTGTCGTGCGCCGGATCCTCGATCCTCACTCTCGTTTTCCGACTAAGGTAAACTCGTAATAGTTCAAGCATATCAAATGATGTGTTGACGTGCATGCTTAACAGAGTATGAATGAAAATCTTGTGGATAATACAATAAATCGAAACTGAGAACTTCGTAGTCATCATAAGTTCATTTTCGTTAGTTGTCACTCATGGTGTAAACATTATTTTATAATAAATTGATACTTTCACTGGATTCGAACTCATTTAGGCGTTCTGTAACCTAACTTATAATCTGTCCTAGTTTTTAGCATTCGAATCAGTTTGTCTGAATTAAATATTCAAAATAAACAATCTTATTCGGCATAAACAATCTTAATATCATTAATATCATTTGAATTTTGTTTTTTTTTCAATGTACAATATACATAATGTACTTACGTATTTTCGCAAAATTACTCTTTACTTACAGTTATATTATCATGATGAACCAGTGAATGTAACACTTGTATTGGATAATTCTTGTAATTTGTCAGTTAGAAAATTACAAATATCAAGTACGTTTTATTAAGTTTTTAATTGTATTTATTGAATAAATGTACCCATTAAAAAAATTACATATAATTCCAAGAACAGATCTTTGGTCAGTGTGAATTTATCATCAAATTGTACATATCAACAGAATGAAAATAATTTCATTTCATTGTGATCATTAACTCTTAACTTGCCTTGATTATCAGTTTAACATTTTCATATGAAAATATTCATGTATATAATATTAGAGAGTGAAGCCTAATGATGACGATCTAATCAAAAACAATACTATTGTTCGCTTATATATGTGTTGTTCTAAACACTAATTGTAGTAAGGATTCAATTAGAAGAAATTATTCAAGAATCCTTACTGAAAACATAATCATACGAAATTCAAACCTTATTACTATGGTATATTCATTGATCTGTATCAAATTAATTATAATTTACTAACTGACATGATATGCCCTAGAATATTTCTTCTTGTTTTCTTAAAAGTTATCTACAAATGTCAAAAGTTATTTCACAATCAGAGTAAATTCACTACAAATACATTCGTTTCTTTGTTTCTTTCTAGTAACTACTTTTCTCATCATTTTAAACGTTCATTATTATTGTTTTATAGATTTTCATCAAACAGTAAGTAAATTTAAACAATCACTGATACCACAAACCAGTAAACAGATATTTTTTCTTGCAATCCAAATTTATGCCTTATACACTTTCATGATAACAGAAATTACTGCGAAAAATATCTTTAGTTCTTATTGTAGCCTAGAAAATTATTTGAATTAACAATTTCGATAATAACTTACTGATTATTCACACTGAAATCATCAATCAATCATTGTTAGACCACCATTAGAAACCTAAAATCACTGGACGGCTGTTTCGTCCTGGTACGGAACTCATCCTCAGTACGCATCCACGACTCCTGCACCTCGCAGAATTCGAACCCAGGACCTTCGATCTTGCGCGCGAACGCCTAACCTCTGCACCACTGAGCAGGTATCCAACGGTTTTAATGTCTAACTCTGATTGACCTCACCCATTTGTCTTTGGTAGTTACTGCCTACATCCGACAGGCTTGAACTCCACTGGTCATGTCTTCTCAATAGAACTCCGAGAATTTCCTCACGGAGCTAGTCATTAGTGAGCACATCTTACAATTTTTTCAGTTAGAGTTATGGAGATTAGTGTTTTTTGCACAATGAAATCATCAATCAATCATTATGTTGTATAAGACAATTACATATCACTACTGAAATGCTAAATTTTAAACTACAGAATTTTGTTTAAATTATTCACGGATATTTTGATGTTAATCACGTGAGTTGAAAGAGGATTTAAAGCCATAAAGTATGCTGAGCATAGTTTCAACTTTTCTCCGATTCTATGATAAGAGATCTTTACAGGTCTTGTTAGTTTTCCAATGGTTTCTGAATTGAAACCATCTGGAAATGAGTGGGTTTTTTTTCAAACTGTACAAAATCGTTCAAAAATATCTTAGCTTAAGTGGTACTGATTCTACAGCTTGTTTGTTCACACTTAAAATACTCATATATGCACGAATTTATTATCAATCTTTATATAAATAATTAATGATTTATCTTACTAAAAACTCCATGGTCTATTGATTAAGTAAGACCAGAAATACAATACGAATGCCCAACCACCGACTGCCTCGACGAGCTATGTTTTGTGGTGTAGGTTTAGGCTGGAAGAAAGTTAGGGACGGCCAGACCAAAACATGGCAAAAATCCATGATGTAGGCTGCCTGGTTGGGGTCCTCGAGACGAAAGTCACCGATTATTAGAGACCTTGAATGACATGGCTCAAAATCGTTTGCAATGGCGCAGGTGCATCCACTCTTTGTGTTCTCTCAAATCCTAATCTTCTGGATTCGTCAGCACCTCTACTTTTGTCTTTCTAAACTTATGTCACTGAATTATACTTCTTGAATAATATCTCTGTGCTAATTCGGTATGGCAACTTGAACTAATGTACTTACGTACGAAGTTCTACGTTGTAACTGACTGACTGACTGACTGAAATACTAAGTATTCACATAACAGTTGGATTATATATACATATATGCAATCCTTTTTCGAACGGTTTAATTACTGGAATTTTTAGTCAGTCTATATCAAAATAATGATTGTATGATATTATACTCATAGAAAAAAGAATAGACTAACTACCTGACTTGGGTTCAATGTTCAACAATGTATCAGGACTGTTAAGAATTTATTTAAATAACTTGTTCAGTAAAATTCGACTTTGTATAATTCTTCAACTGATATGTTTTAGTAATGAAAGAGTGAAATTCATATCAATTACATTTATTATATGTTTCATTCACTAGTTCATCACATTGTAGACGTACAATATTTTCAAATAGAATCAATTAAAAAATATTTGTAATTTCTGATGGATAAGTTTTTTTTCATCATTCAATAAACAGACATAATTAATATTATCATCAGAAAGTAACAATTGAATGTATTGACAAATGTTTTAATCTCTCCAAACAAAAACACATGATTTTTAAAACAATGTGATATTTAGGTAAATAATCAAGATGAATATATATTTTTACGAATGGATTATATGAATAATAGTTTAGTCATCATTATTTTTAGTTTCATTCTATTCATCTACAGTCTCAATTGTATATGTTATATTTCTTCTTGCTTGAATAGCATGAATCTTTTGTTGTAAATAATTCAGTGATTAGCGCTGGGCAATATTGTAAATTATTGAATAGTGAAAATTATGATTATGATAATCAGTAGTAGTGGTACAATAAATCAGATCAAAATGATCTAATCGGTTTATAGGCTACTTTGGTTAGCAACAGTGGAAAACCATTGAATGTTTAAAAGATTTCTTTAGCACCTAACAAAAAGCGAAAACTTGTTTTTATACTCAGAGAGCGTATATTAGCTATGTACCTTATTCGACTGTTGGAGGATTACATTTCATAATGAGAAAATAATTCTGCATTTGTCAATGTTTTTCATGGTTTCAAAATGTGTAATCTAACAATCTTCACAACCGCGTAATGCAATTATCTGTGCTCACTAGCGAATAGCTCCGTGAGGAATCTTCTCCGAGTTCTCGTGGGAAGTCGTGACCAGTGAAGTTCAACCTGTTCGGGTGTAGACAGTAACTACCGAAGACTGTGTACGAGGTTGCTCAACTCTGTGAATTGATCAAGTTAGACATTATTACCGTTAGATATCGGCTCAGTGGTCCAGAGGTTAGGCGTTCGTGTACATGACCGAAGGTTTTGTGCTCAAATCCTGCGAGGTACAGGAGTCTTGGATGCGCACTGCTGACGAGTGCCATAACAGGACGAAACAGCTGTCCAGCTCCCAGGTTTCTAATGTGGTCTAACATTGATCGATTCATGGTTTCAAAATGTGTAACTTAACAATCTTCACAACCGCGTAATGCAATGTGACTCAAACTTTAGGTACCATATGTTGGATGATAATTAACGTTTTAATTGTCACTGATAGATTGCGACATAGCCATTAATCACGAAAATACTGAATATTCATTGATTTTTTATTAACAATGATTGCTTAATATAATAAACATCATCATCACAAGCGTATTCATTTTAGTCAACTAGTAAAAGTGAAGAAGCATTGAACAGTTATCTGGTCTTAATTTTTATTTGATTTAATTTACTCGCGTAAATACTGGTACAAATGAGGCACCTAAATATTTCTGAACGATACAAATCATTAAATCTGTGGGTGATCTAAAGTACTGCCCGGACGCCAAAACTGTGACAAATGGATTTCTGTAAACCACTGGTTTGGAATTAGGGTTCTAAAACTTCACTAAGTGGATCTTTCATGCTGACTATCTTGGTCTAAGCTATAGACATTCGCTTTCTGTCCTCCCCATTTTATAAACAACACCGGAGCCACCAGAAGGCAATGGGTAGGAATTTCCAGAAAGTTGTTTTATACGCATGGTTATATGAGTGCGTTTCGAGAGAGAAAGTGGGCTCTCTACACTCTTGTCTGTACTAGAGCATTGGGAAGCAAACCACTCCTGTGCCGGAAGTCAAACCCGAGCCACTTAGGTAAGATTCAGAATATCATGATATTTCGACACAATCACTTTTTACCAATGTCTTTCAGATTAATGTATAAAGAGTTTCAAACTAGCATAACACAGCCACCCAGTACTATATTTCTGTTTAGTAATTTACCAAGTAAATCAGTCAGTCTAAAAGTTAACATCTTTACAAATTGTCCACCAAAATTTTGTCTACGGGCTAAGATTCTGGATGATTATTAATTTACGGCTGTCATATCATGTTTGATCTGATTTTCTTAATCTTCGATATTAGGCTGCAAGAATGTTGAAGCGATTAGGTTGCTTTGAGTTTAATATAGAATTAAACTTTAAATAGGTGTAATAATCTAAATTTACTAAATGTTCAGTTGGAATTACAAGATTTTAATTATTATCTTTCCAAGGCTAAAACGGTAAAAATTCTAAAAACCTCAAATACCTTCAATACTTATAACTATCTTGTACTCACTAGTGGCTAACTTCAAGAGCAATAGCAAGAAACCGTGAACAGTGGTGTTCAAGCGTATCGGATGTGAGACAGTTATTCACCGCAGGTAATTAATGAAGGCTTATCAATATCGTTAAATCTGAAAAATAAAATCGTTGGATGCCAGCTCAGAGTTTAAGGATTCTTGAGATCGAAGTTTTGCATTATGTATCATGTACGCAAATATGACTGACTACCTTCTATAAAACATATCTACGTTCCCGTGATAAACGGTGAATGTTTGAGTTCACCTCTGTCAAATAAAAGATATACACCATTGGTTGGAATGGTCTGTTGGCAATCAAAATCAATAATAGGCTAGCTACATTTCGGCGTATAAACCAATATATCTTAGCTTGATTGTAAAAGAGCAACACTCTTTGCTTTACACAAATGCTATAGATCCTCTGTACAATGAAACCTAAACTAAGATGAAACACCCAACAAGTGCATTTTAGTTTTCGCCAATGTTCTAGCTGAAGTTCATCTAGTTAATATAAGCTAAAAAATTGACTTGTAGAGAAAATTTTTTCGTAGATACACAAACTCTATTCATCAGTCACATGCTATTGATTTCGATTTTTATTATTCTTAATTGTAAATTTTAAAAAAAGTCTTAATTATTTATTCAACTAGAAATAAGAACCATTTAAAGAAAGAGAAAACTTTCTTTTCGCTGATGTCATTTACTAAATAAAACTGTACTTTTTCCGTAATAGTTATGTAGAATATATATAAATCTATAGTAGAAATAGAAATTTCTCCACATCATATTAAATCATCAACAAAAGCGTTACTAAAATACCAAAAGAAGTAGTTAGCTGCGTAATAGACTACAAAATATCACAAAGCTGTAAATTATTAATAATCGTCGAAAAAGGAAATTGTAATCAAAGATTACATGATTAGACAGAGAGAAAAAGAAACCATTGGCAATATACGTGTTGTGAGACAAAGATAAATTATCATTTATCGTACATATAGAATCTAAACATTAAATGGTAAGAGAATCATGAAGGTATCATAAAAAAATATTACAACAAACACTGATTAATCAAAATTGATAAATGAAAAAGAAGTTCAAAACCATTGTAAAATGGTCTACATAGATTAGGACTGTACTTTACATACTAAACATTTTGATTTCAAACCATTATGTTCTACAATATGAATAATTATGACTGATGATTTAGGTGGGATGATGTAACCAGTGTATTTGTATTCAATAGTCAATAGTATAAAATAAGAATTACAGCAAGAAAAAGAAAGTTTCATTTAGAAAGAAATTCAAATTAGAATAATTTTAATGAAGACGAGTTTCATTGTGGGAAAAAAACATGATTGTTGGTCTGTATTACTTATTTCTGCGTTCATAAAGTAGCGCAGCCATGATTTTTGTACATTGATCAAATTCATTACATCCAGTAAACGCTTGAATCTTGAACGTTGAAATTCAATGCAGTAGCATATTCTCATTAATAGGCAATTTCATAATTTTTTTCTGCATGAAAGTCAAATCATGGAAATTATTTTCAATCAAAAATCAATAAAATACGTGAAAGTGAAATTTATATTCTAACGTATCAATGATGAATATTCTCAAGTGTTGATGATGAAGATCACTGGTTTTTGTTTATTTAATCAATTTTTTAAATAATCATCTTTGAGAAATTATTTATGATTTAAAATTATGCCGCTGTAAATATTGTATAATTCTTTGCTAATAATACATTTTATTTTAAACTGTCGTTATATAATTGATAAAGTTCACCAATTTTAATCGGCACCTGAACTAGTGTTAGGGAATGAAGTAGTTGAACGTGTTGACCGATTCACTTATCTTGAGAGTCTCATCAGTGCTGATGGCCTGATGACTGACGAAAACTCAACACGGATACAGAAGGCTCGATTGGCTTTCGCTGGCTTATGTCACTTATGGGGTAGGCAAGATATCTTTGCTAACTGAGCAGCAATTCGCCTCGTCCTGATTTGCGGGTGTGAAACATGACCAATACGAATAAAGGATATTCGTAGATTACTAGTATTCGATTATAAATGTCTTCGAAGCATTGCTCGTATATCCTGGGACAAGCGGCTAAACAATGCTGGTGTTATGAAACGAGTACTAGGTAAGGATGGCAGATCAATAGATGAAGTATTGAAGCTTGATCGATTGAGGTGGTTCGGAGAAGTGTTACGTATGCCCATTCACCGACTGTCTAGACGAGCTATGTTTTTATGGTGTAGGAGTAGGTTGGAAGGAAGCCAGGTGTGGTCAATTCAAAACATGGCAGAAATCCATGAAGTCGTTGATAAGTGGAATGAGTCATATTGGTAGATGTAGACTACCTGGTTGGAGTCCGCGAGATGATAGTAACCGATGGTTAAAGACCTTGAACGATATGACTTAAAATCGTTTGCAATGGCGCAGGTGCATCCACTCGTTGTGTTTTCTCAAACTCTTATCTTCTGAATTCCCCATCACTTCTATCTTTCTCCTTTTAAATTTATTTCACTGGATTATATTTTGTGAATAATATCTTAAAACCATTATCTTCTCCATTACCACTTATATTTCTACTACTACTTTTTAAAAAATTACAATCTATAGTATTCAAATTTAAACTTCTATTCTGTTGAAATAATGAATGATAATCAATATAGACCGGAATCATTTCATGGTTCATTTATAAAATTTTAAGATTAATAAAAACTGAATAAACTTGGATGATACAAAATGACAGAATATTTTATAACTTAAAATACGCCTGGTTAAAGATAACATATTATACATGCAATGTTCTCAGTAAAATATGAAACGATAAGTTGTAGGCAGCCTTATTTGAATTCCTCATGATCATGTAACACTAATCGTAATAATAGCTACAAAAGAAACCTACACATGTTATACATTACCGAACTGAGCTCAAGTTTTAATACATTACAAGGAGGTTTGAAAAGAAAGCTTTTCGTACATGCTGGCTACTTGTTAACTCCAATGGACATGATAGAAACAATCTCTTCTTACCCAACAGTTTAGTTAATTGTATGTTTACAATAGTTAAACGGTTACTTCTTGAGTCAAGATATTTTCTAAAGTTGTTAGTTAATTATTGTAAGATAAAAGTATTGTTTAATTGTTAAGTTTATTTCTAATTATTACTGTAAAAAATAACTTCCGTAAAGAAATTCCAACATCATCTTGATTCCACAAGTAAATGGATAAGGCTTAGGTCATATTTTGACAATCTTTAAAAATTCGCCTTTAATTCTGAAGAGAATTATTGATTATTGAATTGGTGTTGTTTTATTATTGTTATTGATTATTATAATTATAATTATAATTATTATTATTTTTATTTAATATTTAGTTGTTCAAGTAACAGAAATGTATTTGTTAACAAAAGGAACATATCGCTCGACGATAAATGAACAATTTTGCAAGTAAGCTTATTTTTTGAATTTGGCATCTGATTAATACTATAACATTGCATTATTCTTAATAATTGTAAGCAAGTAGATGTCGAACTCAATTTTAACAAAATCATCTTCACTGAATTACTTATCTAATTAATTATTTCACTTAGTAATTAATCTTAAATGTGTGTAGAAGGAGAAATGGTTTTCTATCTGGACTTTAGAAATGAAACTTTATTTGATCAGCGACTGAGATATATGAATAAATTAATTATTCTCCAAGGAATATTAAATAAGGATTAAATGTATCTAAACATTGTGTAAATAAGTCTTCATAAAATCAACTTATTCAATTAAAAATCGCTTAGTCATACATAATTAGTTTCTGTACATCAATTAAGAACCGTCAATGAAGTAATCACTGAAGAAGAATGTTTTTTGAAGTGAACTGGTAACTAACAGATGAAACTAGATGGAAGAAGTGATTATGACCTGAGTGACAGCTCCAAATGTCTCGTAATCTCACTATCCGAATGGCGAAAGTAATCGCTATCTTTTGAGGGGTTGTGGTGAATCCATTTATTTTATCGTGGTTTTTAAAACTTTCCTGATTCAGAAGGCTGGTAATGGTGTGACTGAAGAATCGAGGTGTGACGTTGATTGGCCCAAAAAGTTGTCCAGGGTTAACTTTAGCCGGCCGGAATGTAAGGTTGTAAAAGACTTTTTCGGGACACCTTTCTGCTAACCTATGAAGTGGATATCACAGTTAAAATTTTGAAGCACTGATTCAAAAAATGGTTGATAAGTATTATGATCATGCGTTGAACTTCAGTGGTGCTTGGTCCAAATCCAGATGACATTATAAACATTCATTACTTAAAGGTACTAAGCTAACAATAAAAACTTACTTATCTAGTCCCTAAATGTTCTACAATTAATGTAAGTTTAAAATCAAAGAAAATTAAAGTTAGTCAAACTCATTGTTAATATTAAACCAACTTAAACAATTAGTATAATATGCTAATGTCATAATAATGATAGGGTCAGTATAAGCCTTAAAATATTGTTTTCAAGGTGAATAGTCATTATGTATAGTGAACAAGAGCAATGTGCATTTTATCCAATTACGTTTTATCATTTATATGGCATTATTTGAATATTTCTTTTTAACACACACATATAACATAAGTATTGAGTGGTAGGATGACGACGTGATATGCTATTTCTGATATCAATACATGCAAACGACCATAAACATTAATTCGATAGGAGAAATATAGATATTTTGCTTCTGAAGAACCGAATGAATGATACAGAATTTCCCGATAATTCATCAGATCAACTGACACGTCGATATGAACTTAACTGACTGACTCAGAGCCAGGTCGTAGCGGCGTTCCATTCTCCGAGAACTTACTTGGAGAACGAGACGCTAACGTAGTAATTCACCTAAGCTACAAATTTTTCCAAAATCTTAGAGCTTGATCAACAGTGACAATCTACGACAGTGCCGAGACAAGTCAAGACAACACGGACTATCTAAACAGTTAGACATAGAAAATAAGTTGGGATAAAACGTTCGAAATAACCCGAAAACTCACTTTTTTATGAACCAGACACTGACATGCTATCTAGGATGGCAATCAAAGCCTAATAAATAAAACATCTAACTTATCAAATGTAACACTACCATGAACGTATAGAAATCAGAGTTTCCAAATTATTTTCGACTCCATTCTTTGTTCCACAATCAATCATAAGAAATTCTTACCTACAGTATTCATTGCATAGCTTTCTATGAATCTGTTTATCACTGTATCAATATCTAAGCAAAATTTAAATAGATATTAGCTTTTTTATACAAGAGATTGTTTACTTCTCTTCATTTGTTTAGTTTCAAATTTGATTTTCAATTAAATAATTAATAAATTTCATTATTTTAGTGAATAGTTAATTGTCACAAAGATTACTACTGTTAATTCATAGTGTTCTCTTAAAAGAAATGTAAATTGGAATCCATTAGTTTTATAGTCAATGCATGTTTTATTCTTGAAATATTTTTCAATTTTCAATTTATCTGATCTGATGGATAGATAGATATATATTCTTTCTTTTGAAATGCATCAAAAATTGAATTGTATCAGAAAAAAAATTTTCATGCTGGAATTTACTGGTCTGTGTCAAAACAATTCTTAAATTAATCATGTCAATAAAATCTAGAATTCATTGTTAATTTCAATCAATGAAATGATTTATTTTGGTTGTTCAATTATCAATATAAGTTTTCTTAACAGATAATGTTGAATTGTATTGTTTTAACTGATTGGCTGAAAAATAAAAAGTCAATTTTTTTGAATTTAAAAAACATTCAGATGCAGGATGATAACTGTCATGAGAGAGAAACAACGATTTGTTTTATATTTGACTAAATTTTTAAGAGAATAAACTTGATAAGTAATTATGAAGTAGATTATATATGCTAAAGTTTGAGTATTCAATGTTCAATTATTTTCGCTAAGATAAAAATTAATAGATAAGTAATATTTTGATAGAACAGTAAGAAGACGTAATTGATTTGAAAAATGTGATTTATTTGCGTTATACATATTTCGAACAGTCTGATCACACTAATATACACTTGTCAAGGCATTTTATATAAAGATTAATAAAAGGTCAATTAAATAAAAGTTCAAAGACACATAATTGGAAATGTAAGAGAGAAAATAAACGTAATATGAAAATAAGAAGGGATAGGAAATTGTCACATTACCCGTGTAAATTCAAAGTTATAACAAATTGTTTCCGTACACATAAGGGGGATTTGAATTTACTAATAGCCAAGACTTCCATAAACCTTAAAATTTATCGTTCAAGATTCTTATACAATTTTTTGTAGGATGTCTTGATGTCAATCTTTTGCTCTGTCTTTGTTTTGCGATCGATGAACATGGTTTTCTATTTCCCACGTTTATCGGCTCATCTAACGTTAACTCATTTTGAAGCGACTTGATTGCAAAGTCCGATTACTCCTCCCTATGAATGTGTGTCCACATAAACACGTAAATCGATGAGTGACGTGGGATGTGATGTAATCATTCGAGCAGCGTTTAGGTCTATGTGGAATCATGAGCTTAGTCTTTCCAATTTCGATCCGTTTAGTAGCTTAGTATGTTTTTTCTATGGCAGCTTTTAGTCGCTGTCTTAATATTAGACTATTTGATTTACCTCTAAATGATAAAGTGATATAAACGTTTTTCTTCTCAGCAGAATGTAAAACAGGCTTTTGTCTTAACTGATTTCTACACCTATTGATGAACTTTAGCGGATAACTGTTGGAAATCAATGTTTCAGTTAAGAATTTTGTATCGTCTTCAAATGTATCCATGTTGCGAATCCTTTGTGCCCTAGGGAAGAGGCATTTTACTAAGCCTCGTTGGTTTTCCTGGTTGGTTTTCTATAAAGTCAACGCTTTACAGTTCCGTTATCCCTTCGACTCAACAGCATGTTTAACAAGAACAATTGGTTATTACTTTCTGTTTCGTGGGTTAGGACAATGTCGTTCTGAGAATTATTGAAATTATTCAGTAACTGAGAGACATGGAGTTCTTTACCACATATAACTAAAATATCATGCATATATCTCCTATACAGAATAACCTTATTGATGTGCTCATTCCACAAATTGTCAACAAACGAAATATAAATATCATCTAAGAGAGGTCCCAAAGGACTAACCATAGCAACGCCATCAACTTGCTGGAAATGTTCATCTTCAAACGTGAAATGAACTTTCGCAATACATAATAAAATTAATTCTTTTAGTAGAGTTGACCTAATAGGAAAAAGGAGGGAAATTACTTAAAATATAGTCACAAAGAAAGTTAACAGTTTTCATTAGGGATAGATTGGTAAAAAGAGAGTTTACATCAAAATAATGCATCGTCTTTCTTTTAATATCAAGAACATCAATTAGTTTAAATATATCTTCCAGGGAAAACTTACACAATTTATTACGAATCGGGCTAAGTAATTTAGCTAACCATTTGGCTAGCTTATGTGTAGATGAGTCACATACATAATTTTGGCCTTGGTAGGTTGTTGGGTTTATGAATTTTGGGTAATCCATATTAATTCGGTAGTTCGGAACCAGTGGATTTTACCATGTTAAATTCATCCTCAATGATAACATTCATTTTGAGTAGCTTCATTAGATTGGAGTTAACTCTCGATTCTAATTTTCTCACCTCATTATTAGATGAAACATTAGTCAAAAACTTTCATCACTAAGGATGGATAACATTTTCTTTTTGTAGTCACATTTATTCATTACAACTATTCCTGAAGCTTTGTCAGGTTTGGGAAACACAATATCTGGTCTTTTACGGAGGTTCCTTTAGGTACTGAAATGTTTGGATGTTAAAATATTCCTGTGTTTTATTTTGGCACCGTGAAATTGATGAGCGATATCAACCAATTTCGCCTTCAACCAGTTTTGATTATCTTGAGTGGTTGGAACAAATACATCACTTGTTTAGATCAACTACGTCTTATCACTGTTCTATCAAAATTTTAAAAAAAAGGGATTAATTGTTTTAAATAAGTAATATTATTTTTAAAACAGTTCAAAACTCTATCGTAGTATGTGTGAATTAATTATCGAGGCTATAATGCTGTATCTAATAAGTAAGACTAAGCTAAATTCTTTAATTCAAGGTACACAAACACTTTATTACATATTTGATTTTATCTTAAAGACATGGCGCAAAGCCTACACGACTTATTGAAATATATCTTCTAAATGCTTGGATGAAGTTAAGTAGTATAGGTTTACAAGGAAGATGACTTGAATTGCGGGCCTAATGCAAACTAGCATTTTGCATATATATATATATATATATATATATATATATATATATATATATATATATTGTTTATGCAATTTTGCAAGAGTAATCAATGACTCAAACTTCATTTAACTATCCAGAAAATCATTTACTATTGGATCAGGTTCGACAATTCAATCTTGTTGGCTATATTTGGTGACAGCTATTTCCTCTTTGAAGAAGTCACTGTCGTTTATTATACTGTTGAGTTTACTGGAGTGGTTAACTATGCTGTTTACCAATGAGATGATTCTCATTGTGATTACAACTACCGATCACTTAGACAACAGTTTATGGTATTGAAAAAGTTCTCATATTTTATTTCCGAAAGCTATTTATTTCAGTGATTAGAGTTTATCAAAAATACTCTACAAAAGATTGAAACACTTTGTTTATTGTTAGTCTCTTTTATATTTTACTTTGCTGTACAGAGAAAATCTTCCTCAAGCTGGAGAGCAACAATGGAAGTATAAGACATCGTTAGATACCAGTTTAACAGATACTCTATTAAAACAAGGTGTTGCACTAGAAGGTTATATAAAACAAGAGAAAAATTGGTTAGCTTCATCAACAATATTGAAACTTTCTACTGATATGAATGAATGTTTAGAAATGATGCAAAATATTCATAAAAACGTTGAAGAGTGAGTTGAACGTTGTTTCTGTAAAACTATTTTTCTATATTTTAGTTAAATGGAGTAATTTTTTCAATTTATTTTCCACCTGGAGCCCTACTAGGATTACTGCCAGTCATGGGGTTAACGATCCTATCCCGTAAAACACCAACTTTCTGAAAAAATGATAACAAAAAAGATCAATTTAAACGTGTTTTTCATTCTAGATTGAAACGGCTTGAAGAATCGTTAAAAAATATTGAACAATGAATAGTTATTGTGTCTAAGTTGGAAACCTCGTAACAATGCTCTGTTAAGACTCCATTTAGGTACTGAACTCAGTTCAAATGAGAAATCTAAACCGATCGAGTTCAACTATGTTAAGAAGGAACACATCCATCACTGATGGCGTTTGGAAGTAAATATAACTTTACCTAATTGTCAAAATTAATCTGAGGCTCTTTTATAGAACAGTCCACATTCCCTCCACTAGAACCTTCACCATGATCAAATGAATAGGTTCAGAGAAGTGAGAATCAGATACTGTACACTGCTAAAGCTTAGTCAATTCAACAATGCAAACCTGGACTTTATGTATGATAATAATTACTTGTCACTACAGCCCTAACACGTTTTTAATTTTTTTTTACTTAGTAATCAGTTGTTATGATTACCTTTAAGTTTTTTCCTTTCCTGATTATATATTCATCATAGTTTTTATATACAAACTATTTTCACCTTACGAGTGTACATCATTATCTTCAAATCAGTAAGTACACTAACTCCCCCTAATTACTTAAAACTTGTAAACACTTAATTTATCACTCGAATTGAATTGTGTCAGGTGCTGCTTCGTTGAAATCTAGTTTAGGATGCTTTTCTCTCTCTCTCTCTCTCTATGACCTTTTGAAAACATGAAAATGAAATTCGGAAAGAGACTTTCAATCAAACTGATTTAAAATCAAATGTAGAAACTTTAAAGTTTAGCAAAGTTAAATTCATGTATGTTGACTGATTTATCGAAAACAAGTTCATTCATCACATTCTCTCTGTGCTTGTTTTTGATATACAAGTAAGGTCATCATCATCATCATTCATCAGTTCATCTAATTGGTTACTTTACCTACTTGTTACCTTCATCTTCTCTCGTTAGACTTGTGTTAAATCTGACTGACCTCTTCCTCTCTCTGTTGAATATTGTAATTTACCGATTTATAAACTATTACTATTACTACTACTACTACTATCACACTGAACGTGATAAGATAATTCACCTATTTTCTACCCATATTGTTTATAACTCACCATATATATAAATAAAGTTGGTTTATTCATTATATGACTACACTAACAGATGCACACACACGATATTAATTCGTCAATATGTCTGACCTTTCAGAGATGTATATGATCATAAATTTCGTGTTGATATTCTATGCATAAATAAAATGAATATTATATTTTTTCGAGGTAGAATACTTGAAGGATGGAATCAGGAATTTTTTACGTATATCATAAGTTAGTCACTGTATTACAGATTTTATAGACTTACCGCCTTAGAAGTTTAATAAAGAATTCAGTGAAGACAATTCTACTTCCAGATATTGAGTTAGGCATTTTGTCAACATGTACAGTGGTGTTATATAGTTCTGGATGCCTTAAAGTGATTGTCTGAAAATCTAGTTTAATTCATTTATAAGTCTGCACTGTAAAACTGAAACAAAACCATGCTACTCATTAGAAAAATGATTCAAAAAATTGGATCTTGGTTTTTTTTATTTGTGGAAAGTCGTCACCAGTGGAGTTATACACTGTTGACTGTAGAGCAGTCATCATCTATGAAATCGTATAATTGTTGCATTATAGACTGAATTGTTTCAGATTATAACCCAATGGTTTTACGATAAAGAACTAGTAAATGAACTTCCGGTTTTGTAGTCGGACTCCAAAAAATTTGGTAGGTGTTTACTACTGAGTAGTAGCATACAAAGATAAAACAACTGTTTATTGTCCCCCTCGTTGTTTCAATTCATACTCCTAGCTGATTTCATTTGTGGAAACATGTCACTTATATGCTAAACTAGTCACTCTATAGACATTTCTGATTTAATACAATGGTAGTAAATAAATTTAAGTCGAAACATTTAATTTTGATATGAAAATCTAACAGATGTCTACAACTTATCATCTATTTATTTGAGTTGAAAAACTACCGAATAATAGCTAATCAATAAAATACAAATGTCTGCAAAAAATATGCATTGTGTTGACTGTTAAACGTTCTGTTTATACTACATTTTATCAGTATCAGCATAAACCGATGTAAACCAATGAATTAAAGAAAATCTAAAGCGTATACATCAGTTACTTTGAATCTTGGTGTTGATGTTTAGATATGCAATCGGTCAGTCTCCTTGACATATGTGCTTCCTGTGCAGATTGTCTCGAAATTGTCATTAGGTCAATAAGCATAAACGGACAGTGATATCTTCGAGAAATGCACATATGCTAACATGAGTGATCAATTTCAGTAGCAAACATCAAATCACATGTACAGATTGATTAAACTTTATTGTGTTCACAAGCTAGTGGCTATCCGAACTCAATAGTTCACAAGTGTTAGAAGTAAACCGTGCGAGGTCCGAGTGCCGGAGTGAATATAAAGCATTAGGTAAAGGTTTATCCAGCTGACAAATCTCAAATAGCATGAAATGCGTGTCATCGATCCCCACACTAGTCATCATCCACTGATGACAATAGTAAGCAACTGTTTCATTCCAGATTGTAATTCCTCGGAACACAATAAACAACAGCTTTGCTTAACCATCAAAATCTGTTTTTTTTTTCAACAGACTGAAATAGACATTATTTTTAACATGAAAACATGTTTTTAAAGTTGGAAGTTCTGTAGACTATAATTTACTTTGAAGATAGACTGAGGTTACGCAATACCTTAGTTAGACATTAACATCATCAGATACCGGCTTAATGGTCCAGAGATTAGGTCCTGTGTTCGACTCCCACCGGCATGGGTCACATATACAAACTGATGATGAGTCCGATACTAGGACGAAACGTCCGTCCAGTGCTTCCAGGTTTCTAACGGTGGTCTCCCAATGAATGATTTATGATTTCAGATGAAAAACAGCAATCTCCATATCTATATAGTGAATATTTTAATAATGTTTGTCATTTAAACTAATGCTCTGTACAGAGCTTTTTGTTTAAGATTCTGTAAATGCTAATAAAGATCATGATAAAAATAATAATATTGATTGATGTCTATAAAAGCTAAATGACTACCTACAACAATTCATATCAATGAAAGCTGTAAAAAAATATCGAATAGAGAATTCTCTTTGGATTGACCAATAAAAAGCACTATATTAAACAACGTGGATGTCCCCATCGAAGAAAATGTTCAAGTATGTCCCTAAGGAATTTTAAAACCTTGAAATTCAGGTCAATATAGAGTCTGCACAATAAAACTTAAAGATAATAACCAGTTAGAAGGGAAATTTATGAAAATGAGTTGACTTAATAGTTTTGAAGTATTCAAAATGTTCATTATTTTATTTGAACAAACTCTTGTTGATATAATCTGGAATTCGAAATCATGAATCAGTCAATGTTAAACCATTATTAGAAACCTGGAAGCACTGGACGGCCATTTCATCCTTCTATGGGACTCGTCAGCAGTGCGCATCCACGACCCCTGCACCTCGTAGAATTGTCACCCAGGACCTTCGGTCTTGCATGAGAATGCCTCACGGCCGTCCAGTGCTTCCAGGTTTCTAATGGTGGTCTAATATTGACTGATTTATGATTTTAAATGTGTAATCTAGGATGATAACAAATGCTGTTAAATTAAATCATCCATTTTAGAGAACGTCATTATCACCGATAAATCTTTGAGTTGAGAGATTTAAAAATCAATGGAACTAAATGACAACGAGTGTTATTGATCTGATAAATTTTGGCATTACTATGACAGGTGACGATGAATTTACAAACTGTCAAATAAACTTTCCTAGATTTCATAATTACTATTCTAGATGGCAGATTGTTAACCAACAAAGTTAGTGAGTAGCACTATTATATGGCAATAACTGCTGAGATAGTATAGCTAGCTCCGATTCAAACAAAGCTATGAGATTTGTAACAATTATCTATCTTTTATCAATAGTAATCTATGCCTCTTCTTTTGATCATTTCACTCCCTTACTATTCTTCTACTATTACAAATGTAACTTACCAGAAGAGCGACAATCTAGCTTCACCAGGTAATCGGAAAATTTTAATGAGGCTATATTTAAACAGATTAGTTTGCCTCATACTGATTCAATCAGCTTCACAGGAATTAGACAAACATGAAATTCATCACTATTCAGTGATCAGTCAGTTATGAATATCTCACTCCTACAGGAGATTAGTCGAAACCCGAATGACTCAATAGTAATGGAGTGTGAAGCTCAATTTCTTTCAAGATACATCCTATTGATGAGTGCCGGGTAATGCGAAACCTAAGTACAGTGATTACTCTCGGAAACATTCAGTAACCTTACCCCCCTCAGAACTTCACTTTAGCAACGGTCCAAGTTCGGTTACAAACTATTCTCAGGGATCATATATTATCTCGGTCATGTGTATATGTGTATATTCTCTAACATTTCGTGAATATTATAAATTATCAGTTGGTTAGCATAAAATTTACTGATTAAAAAAAATCAGGTCATAAAATAAACTATAATTACAATAAAGAAATTTGAGGAGTCTCTAACATTTATGTTTTGTGATACTGCTACTCATCGTTCTATCATCTTTTTTTAGATCTACAGAAACGGCAATCAAAGCTAATAAAGAGCTACATGGAGTTGTTATTTCATACTTTATCCGTGTTAGGTGTTGGATAGGAATGAGGTAATCTATGTGATGGTATGATGATTTCAATTTATTTTCATTTGAAGTATACATTTGGTGGTGTATTTACTGTAGTAAGAGGTTTGTAGCTTTGCATAGATTACCTTAGTTAAATGATTACTGTCAATCAGAAACCACTGAACAGTCATTTCATCTTGGTATGAAACCCCTTTAAATCCAGATACATTCATGAACACCTACAACCCCATCTGGGATAGAATACAAAAGCTTAGGATTAGCACATTCTTTGCCTAACCTCGAGTCTCCTGAACCAGCAACCAATGATTGACATGTATCATTTATGACAATGAGTGACTAGATTCCATTGCCTGCCAGCACATCACACTCGACAAACTTGAAGTCAACAAGTCATGACTTCTTACTAGAATTCCTAAAATTACATTTTAAAGTTATTTACTGGCCAACACGTTATTATTATCACTACTTGAGGTTCATGAAGATTGTTGATTTTTCGTTGATTACATTACACATTTAAATCAGTTGTAAAACTCAGTAATTTAAACAAACTGGTAAGAAACAATGATTTTATGTTTTTTTCAATTAGAGTTATGGAGATTAGTGTTTTTACACATTGAAACGGATAATTGTGTTTAAAAAAACGTTTTTTGTTCACTTACTGAGAATGGTTAAGAGGCTAAATGACATTTGAAACAGACAGGGATTATAAATCATCAGAGAGCTTTATGTTAGATGAAAATTCTTAAAGTCCAATCCACAACAAACTTAACTTTTGTCGTGAAGTTCTATTTTAAAACAGATTAGTGAATAACTGTGAATATGAAGCTTTCCAATAAAGATGTTACTATTTTCCTTATCACAGAAGCTTATCACTGTAAACAAGAATACTTTAAATAAACATTATCGTTAACAAGATTGTAGTTTGTCTACGTTAATGCATAAAACTGAAACACTCTCTTTAGTTGATCTATACAAAACTAGTTTGGTCAATACTGCTGTTGAAATTTTAATTAATTTCAGAAAAAAAAACAAATGTCTAGAACTTGAAATTTGTATTATAAGAACAGCTGTAATTTACGCATTAAAAAATTAAGATAATTAAAACCTTATTTTCGCGAGTTTTAATTACATTTCACTCATCTTTCATGAGTATGCATTAGTAAGCAAAGAAATTCAACAAAGGAGATCAGAGTTTTCAGAATACATTCTTAACTTGATTCGATTATTCTTGAGTAAAATAATGGAGTAATGCATTAAGCATTAGACAAAGATTTCAACCGTTAATCCGTTTATCTGGAATCTCAACCAGGTACCTTTGGGTCCTACCTACGCAGCAGATATTATACATAGTATATGTAAGACCTCACCAAAATGTGCACATATTACACTGAAGCGGAGTAAGTGAAAAATTAGTTTAAGGCCTTAGGTTTATCGATAACCAATATATCTTAATCAACAGTTAAATTCATGATACATGTTTCATTTTATTCCACATTCATTACTTACTTACTTTCTTACGCATGTTATCCTCAGTAGAGCATAGACCACTGACCAGTATCATCCAGCCTACTCTGTCCTGGCCCTGCTTTCCCGTTCTGTCTAATTTTTGTTCATTCTTCTCATGTATATCTCCATTTATCGGTGTAATGTGTTCTTGGTTCTCCTCTTTTCCTTTGACCCTGAGGGTTCTAAGTGAGGGCTTGTTTTGTGTGTGTCCTATCCACTTCCACGGCTTCTTCCTGATTTCCTCCTCTACTGGAATCTAATTTGTTCTCTCCCACAGTAGGTTGTTGCTGATGGTGTCTGGCCAACGAATCCGAAGTATTTTGCGTAGACAACTGTTAATAAACACTTGTATCTTCTGGATGATGCCTTTCGTAGTTCTCAAAGTTCCCGCTCCATACAGTAGAACTGTCTTGACATTTGTATTGAAAATCCTGATTTTGATGGTGATTGCTAGTTGTTTGGAGTTCTAGAAGTTTTTCATTCATTAGTTGTGTTTATCTGCTACCAAAGTTGAAGTTTACATTGATATTCGAATATTCGAATATTTTTCGCTTCAAATCAAAACGTCTTATCCATAGAGTAACAGATTCTACTTAGTCAATAAATTGTTCAACACTAAAGTTTACTATAGTTTATGTAGATGATGAAGAATATCGAAATATCTTTTCTCACAGTGAATGCTTGTTCACTGCGATTCATCGAATAGTATCTTACAATGTCAGAAATGGAATAACACAAACTTGTAAGTAGTCTTTGGCTCACAATTGAATCATTAACTAACCATGGATAGTTCAAATGCAAAATCAAAATAACTATAGTCTCTGTTAATGAGTGCAGCTCTTTTTTCAATGTTTCAACAAGCATTTTGACTTTAGGTTCCTCACAAAAACAATTAAAACCAAATTCATGAGGAATAACTAGTGCTTTTCAGTCTAACACAAGAATTCATTTGATCCTAATCACGATAAGCAGCATATTCATATTCAACATATGGAACAATTTTTAAAAAAAAACTTGTACAACAAATTACCCATGAAGTGATTAGAATCAGATTAATCATTAAAACTTCGTATCGATTTATTTCCAATCGATAAGGTCTCTACAGATTTAATATTATGTCTGATGTCTTCCATGTACTGATTTCTGTGAAGATACGCCTTCAAATCACGGTAAAAATCTTTATAAAATAATCACCAAATGAACTAAAAGGTGTAAATTATTTATTATTTATTGACATTCAAAAGTAGTTGAATATGTCACTGTTGAGATGTGGGAAGCTTGATGTTGCTTCGGATTAAAATGTGATCACATTATATTGATTAATGGTGGGATTAAAATTACAAACACCATTTTAATAATTACTTCAGTTAGAACTTTTCAAAAATATTTTAAATTTCTATTTATTTCTCTCCCTAGCCGATGTTCTGTCCACATTCCGTTTTTATTGATGCAACCAGAAAAAGAATCTCTCACTGTGAATAGTAATAATAATAATAATAATAATCATCCTATTTGCTTACCTACTCATACTGTTCACGCTGATGTAGTTGAAAATCAGGTAAGTTCAAGCAACTGTTAACGTAGATGATTTAAACAATCCATTCAGTAATTTCTGTTAACACAAGTTGATGTGTTCACTGATTGTTAATAAATAATAATAATACCGAAGGTCCTGGATTCGAATCCTGCGGGGTGCAGGAGTCATGGATGCGCACTGCTGAGGAGTCGCATACCAGGACGAAACGGCCGTCCAGTGCTTCCAGGTTTCAAATGGTGGTCTAACATTGATCGATTCATGGTTTCAAAAATGAATAATTAATACGCTGAACTATGTTGCTAAAATGACTACTGTTATTAAATTACTTGAAATCACAATCGAGTTTATATTATGCTGCCTAGTGTTAGATGATATTTACTGGAAGATGTATCGAACTTTGATAAAACACATTCTGTCACATAAACTTGAATTTATGACAACAGGCAGAAATGTTCAGTAGTGATTTTGTTTTGTAATTCAGTGTCAACAAATACAAACCTCTGGTAAGGCGTTTCTTTCGCTTCAGTTAACTATCTTGGTCAAATATATCTAATCTTAAAACTGGGCATCTCAGCACGCGGAACAAATTTTCATTATAACTCAGTTAAATATATTTTTCGTTTAAACACACTGTAAAGTTAACCTTTACCATAAACGTTGTTCAGCATACCATTTAAATAGTTGTTGCATTTTATGTCAATATTCGTAAAAGTTTGTATACTAAAACTCTATCCGAATTTATTACGCAACTCTAGTTGTGCTTCATTTGCGTTAGAGAAGAATCGTTAGGTTATTTAGATGAGTGGGGAAACTATTTTAACGATCAAACAAAGTGATCAACAAATACGAAGTAAATAGTGAACAAATTATTACGTTTTACTCAAACTAACTGAAATATGTCATCGTACCGTAATTTCTGAAGAAATAAAAATGGCTTGACCTTTAAAAACTTGATTATTAATATGGATTTTAACGGCTAACTGTCACCATAACTTCATATTTTCGAATTTATATTTAAATTTAAACCCCAATCTTAGCTGAATAATGAAATCTATTTAAGACCACTGCATTCTTACTAAAAGTGAAATGAGTGAACCTATGATGCGCAATATTTGAATCATGAGGAATTGATTGTTGCAACCAACAGAACAGAAAGAAAGAAAAGTTATTTTATTAGATGAAATGGTCGCAAATACTGTTGATCAATAACAAGTGGAAAGGTGGATTTCATCGTAGGTATTAGGAGCTATATCTTGAAAAAAGTCAAATTACTGAGGATAAACAAACCTACGTAACGTTGCACACTCAAAATAATTGGACATACGATGGAAACATATAAATCATTGAATCGGAAAATAGGGGTGACATATTCTGGGATCACTCAGATGGCACACTGAGTACGTACAGATGTCTAGTCCTTCTTGGCTTTCACTGTCGGTCTAGATAAGACTAGTCAGCCCTTTAAACTGTGAAAATTGATGTTTGTGACTTTATACAGATTACAAACTTTTGAATAAAACTCACACTACTGAATATCACTTAGTAGTATACCGGAATCAAACATCAGTTCACACTTCAGGTAGAAATGCTAATAATAATGCAGTTCATCAAAAACAATGAAAGCTCCACAACCAAACCATCCAGTTCAGAGAACAACGCTCAACCATAATTATCCACCTAAGCTACAAACGTCCTACCCTATCTCAAAATCATTTAGAAACCTTACATAGAAACAGATATTCTAGTCATCATCCAGTTGCTTATGTTCGTCTTATATTAAGTGGTGGAAAGAACTCGTTATCAAGATGAAATATTCTTACATATCAAAAGAAGCTTTACAAGAAAATAGCTTTTCAATTTCTACTAAATATGTATCTAACGGAGACATAAAGTAGACCAAAGACTTCTAAGGATTTATACTATCACATGTTAACTGAAAATGCATGAATTTTTTGTCTAAATATTCTGTATTTGTCTTAAAGATCTTTGCGTTTTACAATCCATAAACGACCGGGCATAATCATCGTGAATTTTGAAGTGAATCGATCAATTATCAATATTTTCACAACTGTTATATTTTTCATCACTGGTTAACTTAAAAATTATCTTTTCTCAAACTGTTGTATATTGATACCATCATTCCTAATCCTTTTCATTCGATTAACACAATGCAATTTCAAAACTTTTTCCCCTCAAATTTTTCATTTCCATTTTAGTCAATTGAAGATAAACCAGAAGATAAACAAAATATTGAAGTGCCCCATGAAGATTAGGATTATTCTCAAATGTGTAAATCATAGTTAATTAAAGTATATATTCATTATTAAACACAATACAAGTTGATCTTCTTTCATTAATAAAACGCTAAAAAAAGAGCAACACACAGCCCTAGTACTTTGTTTTTATTGTAGAACAATTAAAAAGAAAAAAGAGACTTTAAACAGAAATTAATCAATCAATTTTGTATATCACAGTTGATTGTATCAGTTATTAATATTCTATGGTTATAATTTGAGTAGAAATATGAATAGATTTCTTACATTATATATCTCTTTGCATCGATTCACCTTCGGATTCCTTGTTCACAATTGGTTTGAATGCTTGACTATTTTTTTTCGATTTTTTGGAAGCGCACATAGAATACAGATATCTTGTGTTATGATAAACTTGTTAAAATTAAGTCTACTAATATACAACCAAAAAATCAGTAAACATAAAACAAGAGATCTTGTAGTGTGTCGATTTACTGCGTGTTCTTAAGCTCGGTAATTAACTCATCCAGAAGATCGTCACTAAGTAGCGTCTGACGGTTAATAAATCAGAACATGAACTCGTAGTGATGAATACGTTTATTCGGGACACACCACAAAGTGAAGCGGAGAAGTAGTGAATAAAACGAATGAAGCGACGTGAACTGGAGAAGGCTTTTGAGCCAACTCCAAGAAATAGAGCATGGCTAAGAATATAT